TGTGCAATGACTCCGCGAGGCGCCGGCAGCGCGAGCAGCGCCAGCACGGCCATCATCATCGCGGCCAGCGAAAATCGGGCGATGGACGCCGCGGCGACGACGGCCCCGCGCCAAGTGTTCCAAGGCGCGTCCGCCGGACCGCGGACTAGCCACAGGCAGGCCACAGGCAGGCCGCGTCGCTTCGCGTATCAAACACAAGACGCGCGAAATGACGACAGGAGACGGCGCGCGGCGGGCCACGGCGGCGGAGGGGCGTGGCGGTCGCGGCCCGTCAAGTTCAGCGACCACCACAGTGTGCTACAGTGTGGCACACACGCGGGGCCTATCTCAACAGTACAGTCCCCGAGTCCCTGGCGCGTCTGTCTAGGCGGCCTGGCCCGGGCCGGCCTGCCTGCCCCGCTGGTGGTGGCTGCCGGCGGTGGAGCCCAAAGACGCCAACCTGCCGATCCACGCATTCCCAGAGGTCAGGCACGCCAGGCCCGTGAGGCCCCGGCGGCCGAGAAACCCAAAACAAGGAGCGGCCACCGCGCGAGCCGATTCAAACCGAACAAGCCAATGACACAGTCGAGTTCAAACTCCAACCATGATTCGCGCTCGCACTGGCGGCGCGTCCCGTAGGGGTGCGAGAGAGAGGTCGACGAAAACATCGGCGAGGTTTGCGGCGAGCCTGGCCGATTTCGGCAAATAGCGACAGCGCACGTCTCGCCCTTGCGCAACAGACGACGGCCAGGGAGTCGGGTGGCGGACGCGCGCCTCGCCAGGCAGCCCAGTGGGGCGCTATCTCCTGGCGTTCGGCTGTCCGATGGCAGCCCATCAAGACTGCGCTGCGCCACGCCGGCTACGCCGTGCCCGCGTTATCGGCGGTGCGGCTGCATCGTTTTCGCAGCTCTGTCTCTCTCGCACTCGCGGGGCGTCCCGCATGGGTGCGAGAGAGACGTACACGACTCTCGGAATCATTCTGCGGGAGCCCTGCCTCGCCCTGCCTCTGGCCGTCAACACGCCGCCGAGCGGATCAATCGCCATCAATGAAGTCACACGGAGCGGACACGCCCATTCAGCGGCGGGCTTCGGGCCTTGCAGTGGGGTGGCAGACGGCCACGAAGCAGCAAATTTACCAAAATGGGGGTTCGGAGATACAATGTATACAAGGCACACCAGGTTCGGCCCCACGTCCAAAGGGGTCCAGAGCCATGGGCCGGGGCCGCCAAGTCCGTGCTGCCCCGGCACGTATGCCAGTAGCTCCCCATCATCCGCCCCGCCAGAGAGAGGCCCCAGCCCAGCCGACCGCGCCGTGACGAGCTAGCGACCCTTCCTCCCCTCCAGAGGTACACTACGCCGCGCGGCTACGCCATGGCTACACTTGCAAGGCATGTGGTGCGATTGGCAGAGCACCGCCTCGCGGGGCCGCGGAGCCCCACGGCCCAGCAGCCCCGACGCCCCCGCCGCCCCTTCGCCCCGATCCGGTCCAGTCCTGTCGGGGCAACGGGATCGATCCGCGAGAAGGGCCCTGCTCCGACGCCACGGCCCCGCCATCCCCCGGCAAGCTGGCAACCCCATCCCGAGGCGGCAGCCGCGGCAGCAGGCCGAATCACTTGAAAAGACTTGAAAAGCAGGACCAGCCAACCCCCCGACAAAGCGTCACCGCCCTACGCCATTTCTTAGCCTGCCATCGAAACTGCCGCTCACGCCGGCCGGCCGGCCGATGGAGGACGAAAAGCCTCTTCTCCAGCGCCAACGAACGGTGGCGCCGGAGAATTCCAAGTCCCAGACGCGAGCCCCGAAGCGTCGCGAAGCATCCCGAAGCGCGGAGGTCGTAGTGACGCCAGTGACGCAGGGGCAAGGACCTGGCCGGGGTGGGGCCCGATGACTCGGTCACCCTGGCCAGGGCACCCTGTAGCACACCCCTTCGCTACTCCGCGCCGCTCAGCGCCGCTCAGCGCGCCGATCGAACGCCGTGCCGCCCCTCCCACCCCCTCGCCCCGGGACCGCCAGCACAGCCAGGACCGCGGGGGCGATGCGCCCGTACGCAACAGCCTACGGGCTCGGAGCGCGGCGGGCGCGGCGGGAGGGTGGGGGTGGCTTCCCAGCATCCCCCGCGCGCTACACTAGAGCCCCCGCGCCGGCCGGCCCACCCCTGCAACCCCCGCGCTGCGCCGCGCTCCGCCCCGCCGCGCGCCATTCCCGCTCCCTCGCCCCGACCTGCCCCACACCTGAGGGTCCGCGGCGCGGTGAGGGGGCACGGGGGGGGGGGGAGGGGGCTTTTGAGGAAAAGTTGGAGACGTTTTGGAGTCGCGTGCGCCGGGCTCGAGGTGCAGCAGTGCATGGCGAGGACAAGCGGCTGCCATGCCGGGCTTTCTAGAAGGGGGCCGGGTCCGCCGCCTTCCACCACGGGACAGCCCTGAGTCACCGGCCACGACTTGGCTTGCCGGGGCACCCCGAGGGGCACCCCAATTCGAAAGACAACAGGTCGAGTGCCACGGCGGGGGCGGCGGGGACGCCGTCAGCGCCGAGCCCTGCGTGGGCGTGGCCGGCGTGGCGGCCAACGTGACGCGGCCATGGGCGCCGTGGGCAGTGGGCACGGCCTGACCAGGCATGACGTGGGTCCGGCGGCAGGGGCTGCTCGCGTCACTCGCCGGATTGGCAGGGAGGCTTGGGCCCAACGCAGGCAGGGCGCTAGGGACTAGGGACGCCGCCACCGCGCCGCGCCGCGCCGGCATAGGGCGACGCAGGACGCAGGACGGGTCGATAGCGCGACGACGCCATGCCCAGCCATGCCCAGCCATGCCCGCACCGCGCGGCGCGCACCGGCCAGCAGCACTCCGCGGCACTCCGCGCGGCGTCGCGACGCCCGGCGCCGTGGTGGCTGCCTGCACGGCCTGCACCTCCAGCATCCAGTGCGCCTCCCAACGAGCCGACGGCAGCCGACCCAACGGGCATGCCCCAGTCATGATGTAATTGTTGCCGGCTCGCCGCAGAGTGGCGCAGAGCCACAGGCACCTCGCTTCCACGGCACTTCACTTCCACCTCCCCCACTGCACCCCGGACACTCCGGCAAATTGCAAATGGCGCCCCGCCGCCCCGCCGCACGGTGGCGCGAGCGGCCACTTGCAGCGACAGCCCCAGTACATGCGCAAAGGGGCCAAAATTTATGAGCAACAATGAAAACAAGTTACTGGCTTAAAGAAGAGCTACCGCAGAAGGTGTACGGTTGTACATAAGTACGTCCCATCCAAAAGAGTACGGAAACAATTTTATTTGTTCTTAACTCATGCACATGTCCTAGAACGCACAGAGTGAATACATTTATCATCAAAGTTAAAAGCGTTTCAAGAAAACTATTAAAGAAGAGGGAAAAGAAGCCTTTCTAATGAGAGTGATCCAGTACAGTATCCTGAAACATCTTGCAATGACAAGCAAACAGCACAGCATTGCCTTGGGCAGACTCAATCACAGAGCACTCAACATTTCATGAATTGTGTTCTTATTTAGGCAGCATGAATGAAAGAACCATTTTTTCTTGATTATCTGACCTGGTTCTGGGTAAGCAGTGAGTAAATAGCAGTCTTTATGCTGATAGTGACGCACATCATTTCAAAGCTGAGACACTGCTATCATACTGAGATTAGTGATGAATTATTGAATAAATCAACAAGGAAACAAGTGATTGATCTTCGAATTCTAGAACAAAACTCAACACAGGGAAATGGATGTACATGGCCATAGCAAACAAAAAAAAAAACTAAACTGGCTTAAACTAAAAGATACACGAAAATTTATCACTGTGAGCCGTATTTAACTTGATACATTAAAACGTATTTAAAAAAGTGATTAAAAAAGGTACTAAGAGAGTGTTTGCCTGAACAAGCAAAACTAGTTGAATTAAGTCATTAGGTGGAACCATAGGTGGATGAAAGTAGAGAGTCCACAAAGACAATGCAGTCATACGAAATGATTGCCTTTGAAAAAGCAAAAATGGAAATACCATGGCCATGGCTTGGGTTGTGGGTCTGCAGCAAAGAGAAAACTACCAAATAAAGTTGACTTGATTCTTTGCTCATTTATTGGCAATCTGCCAAAGTGACAGAAAACAAAACAGGCGCTTTGTCACCAATTGCCAGACCTGTCAGATACTCGAATTCTAAACTTCACCGCGACAACGCAGATACCGTTTCTGACAGACGAACGTAAATAGGCCATACCTCCATCGCCCCAGGACGGCCGAAAAGATATTTTAATCAAAGAAAACCCTAAAACGGTTGCGTGACAAGACGATTTTTGGCGAAGAAACGAAAATTAATGGCGACATCGGATCAAACCGAAGCCAGCAATCGCGAATAGCTACTTCATGATGTTGCTGAAACTCTCGCTACATGACATGACAGGCCCAAGCAGCGTATGTGGCGGCATCACGAATAGCATCTGCACCGCAAAAGAAAAGCCCCACGTAGACAGAACAAACCTTCTCGCGAAGACAATCCGCCGGATCGTTCTTTTGGATGTCACAAACCAATCAATCATGGACTACTTTCACGAAAAATCAGAAAACGTTTTCTTGATGTGACGAGGTTTGTTTGGACGCTTGGTTGCCTTTCGTGCCTCTCATCCACACTGACTTTGTATCTGCGTATCGTCACAGAATACGGTGATGGCAAAACTTCTAAACCTTTCCCCAATTACAGATCGCACTTAGGAACATGTCAAGCTAGTATACATCACAAATCTGCGATAAATAACATTAAAACACGCGTTTTCAACAATAAAACACTTACCTGGTGGCCACAGATGACGGATATTCAACGGGTGATACTGCGCAGGCTTTCTGCGCATGACTACTGGCATCAGAAGAAAAATTGTCAACAAGTCAAGAATTGTTGACTATATTGCATTGTAACAGGAGATGTTTTTGGTACTGATACTTAAAAAATTAGTTTCTGTCGTTTTACTATACGAATATTTCATTTCGTCTTTTAATCAAGCTTGTTTCAGTTTATGTTAAATATTTTTGGAAGTGAGCTTGGCTCACAGTGTGTTCCACTTTGTTTCCGCGCCCGGTTTCGCAGACAATTATTACATCAAGAAAATGATCAGCTGATCCATTATTGCTTATTTGCAATTTACTTCTGGATTAGATTTGTGTGGCGAATGCCTTAAAATTTTGATACATTTATTGTATGTTAGAGCCTGAGTATGTCCTTCCTGTGGTGACTTTTGTTCGATAAGTCATTTTATGCTACAAAATGTCGAACCCAGGAAGCTACAATTTCAAAGTGGTTCTCTTAGGAGAGGGATGTGTAGGGAAAACGTCGCTGGTTCTTCGCTATGTCGAAGATAAGTTCAACGATAAGCACCTCACAACATTACAGGTACGACGACGTACGTGTGTGGACCTAACCTCATCCTGTACCTGTAGCTGTCACACCTGTCATTTTAGTAAACATTTCCTTAAATTTCTGGCACTTTTTAGGCCTCTAATAGAGAGCTCTTTTAATTGATGATGTTCTTAAGTTCAATCATGCAATGGTTTGTATCGACTATTGGAGCACTTTTGAGTTATGTGATGTGTCATCCATTTTTTTTCCACAGTTTGTTTATCTGATAAAGGCTGTAATTTTAGTACTGGCTTGAATACAATTTGGCAATTAAAACGTCTCTTGCTCTTACGTTTTCCCCCTCTCACAAATCCAAGAATTTTTTCATGTCCTGGTAATTAGTTGTCGATGTATTTTTCAATCGTTTCAACTTTGATTCTGAAATGGTTATGTAACCGTTTTTGCCCAGTTCTCTTAAGTGGTTGTCAATCCACTTCTGCAATACTTGTGTTAGGGGAAGAGGTGACTTTTGTTCTGGGTTATTTTGGTTTGCCTCTGGGAAATTCATCATAAAGTTTTCTCATAAATACATCTTTGTTTTTGTCTTTTTTTCTCCAGGCTTCTTTTCTGAACAAGAAATTGAACATCAATGGGAAGCGAGTCAACCTCTCCATCTGGGACACAGCAGGGCAAGAGCGGTTTCATGCTCTGGGACCTATATACTATCGAATGTCGAATGGAGCTATTCTTGTCTATGATATTACTGATGAAGATACATTTAAAAAGGTAAGTGTTCAAAATCAATGATAAAAATTATGGAAGGGTCACACATCTCTGAAATTTCAACAGAGTGCACTTTCCTTATATTTTCATTTTCTAGGTTAAAAACTGGGTGAAGGAACTGAAGAAAATGTTGGGAAGTGAAGTATGTCTCACCATAGCAGGAAATAAAGAAGATCTTTCTAAGGATAGAAATGTATCTGTTGAGGAGGCCCAAAGGTAAAATTTTTACTTTACGTTTTTAAAATGCCCTTTTATACACATTATTTTAAATGATAATTTTTATCTTCAGGTATGCTGATTCTGTGGGAGCCAAACATTTCCTTACATCTGCAAAATTGAATCAGGGCATTGAAGAGATGTTTGTTGAATTAAGCCAACGCATGATGGAACGTCATGCTGAAGTTGAGCTTGCTCAAGCGCAGTCAACATTGGGACGTGCTGGAAGTATGAGGCGAAATGTTATGGTTGTAGAAGATGACATGATGGTGCCTCCTGATAATGCAGTTAAGGGTGCTTGCTGTGGTGGTTATCGTGTAGCATCATCATGAAAGAGCATTTGAGGGCGCACAACTGTCAGGTTGATGACCTTATTTTGAATTGGAAGTTACATGTTTGTGACGTGACAGTTCGAAAATCATGTGTTCTGTGTGCTGTATATTTACATATTCTAATAGATTGAATGTTATATGTGAAGTATCTGTGATCTAAATGTGTACAAACAATGTTATGTGGAAAGGCCTTAAGTTGTTAATTTTTTAATTTACCTCAGTGGCCCATTCTATGAACCATAATTCCACTGTAATCTGCAACTTATTTTTAAAAAACAACAAAAAGAACTCAATATACAGAAGAAAGAGGGTGTTTCTTCTGTCTTGTCCAGTTAAGGTTGTCTTTTTTTGTCATTGTGTAAATTTTTGTGTGTGGCGGAGCTCAAAAGAACCAACTTATTTGTGTCAGGAACAGTAAAGATTAAGTTGTGCTATTAATCCCTTTCTCAAAATGTCGCACCATTAAGCAAGAGGATGTTGTGTACGGACTTACAACTGACACAGAAATGTCTAGTCGCTTAAATCATCTTAGGAATAACTTATTCCAGACCTTTCTTTGCAAGAATCAGGTTTAAATTGATGAATAAAAGTATGTGGCATAGGTATAGCAATTGGCATAGAATCTGACCTCATGTTGTGGTATTAATTGCTGTTTGTAAGTCAAATTGGAAGCCATGTTGCAGCATATGTGCTGACTCAAAGTCTACTTATCAAGTTACATTGAATCTACTTATTATTGCTAAAATCGTTTGCTTTTCAAATTTTTATTTCAATGTTAATGTTTATTACTGTTGTAGCCATGCTTAATCTTGCATTAGCATTTTTCTTCTTGTACAGTATCCTATACTGTTTACCAAAATGAAATATTTTTAAGGACCGCCTTTCAACTTTGGACTGGTCTATTACTTTGTGGAACTCTACTGCTGTATGGTTGTCTCTTGAACTTCCTAGCAAGGAGTTGTCCTTAATTTTTCAATCTTCAGCACAAGTCACGTGTACTCTTTGACAGACTAAAATATGGAAGCCAACAACACACTGCAAATGTTGACAAAGGCATCCAGTTTACCTTGTTGCTATTTTTTCTCATGTTGGTGAGTTTTGTTCTAGTTCGTGTTTCCTTTTGTTTATATCAAAATGAATTACGGTGGCCACCTATCATGTCCCAACAGAAGGATCAGGTGATTGTTGAAACCAGTTTATATTTGTGAAATACACAACAAACGCAGTGCAACCCTTGTTCAGTTGTGACTAATCGCAATCCTTTTTGTATAAGATTGTAATAATCTGATAGAAAATTTTGTACTCAATTTTGCAAGACCTGTATTTCTCAACTATTGACTTGTGATTAAAATATGGTGTCATCAGTATTATTCCAAAGATGAAGTTCTGTAATTTCTAGTCCCAATGACAGGTTTAGTAGTTCATGTTTAGTTCATCACACCCGCACTACAGTGAAAACCTAATTGGAACAAATTGGTCCAGCCAGACCAACATAATGTTGATGCTTAGGCAGCATTTGGCAACAAGGTTGCATGGGACATCATGCACATCACTCAACAAGACACAATTTGTCCACACAAGATTCTTTCTCATGAGATTTTACTGTATTAGAGTCTTCATTATCACAATAAAAAAACAGTATAAGATAAAAGTTTTCACTAATTTTAATACATTTCCATACACATTCTATAAAATTTATTTTAAAATTTTATGTATAATGTACAGTAAAAGCACAAAGGCACATTGCAAAAAAAAGGGGGGGGGAGGGTGGATAAAATACATCTAAATTGAAAGGAAATGTTATGTACTAAATTAAAAGCTGACATTTGAACACAGCGCTTGCATGCCTACCTGCTCGCCTCCTAGCAGTGTTATACCATAAATATATGTACATTCACCAATAAATTAGAGGTTTACATCCCCCTAGAATTTCCAGGAGACAGAGAGAGGCAAAGGTGCTTCATATACATCACAATTGAGATCTCCCATGGACAGAGCCCTTGTAAAAATTTCTTTCCCACATTTTATGCACTTTCATAACATTCACTTTCACTGATTGTAATAAATAACAATAACAAAGGAAAAATAATTATGGACCAGTTTGGTAAAGTTCCTTACATGTACGTAATAACAAATGTAACACAAGTGCCAGAGAAAACAAAAAATGTACAAAAGCTGAAAATATCTTCCATAGTGCTTCAATTTTCGTTTTCAAACACATTTTTTGAACATGAGTGTCTTTAGAAATGCCCGATTTGTGGAACAATATTTTGACAAAACCACATGGTACAGATAAGGATAGTCATGTGGTGTCAGTCTGTCATTTATTTGGCTTAAAAAAAAAAGTTCTGAAGAAAGTTGATACGTATTAATTACTGTTACCATACAACTGTCCATCTGATTAATTTTGTTGGCCATGGTAGAATTTTAGGGCATATATTTCTTTTCATAAGAATGATTATCCAAGTTGCAGTGTGACATAAAAGACAAAGAGAAAAAAAAAACATCTTGATAAAACAGATTGTTTCCAACCACTTACAAACAAAACAGAATTCTAATTGGAGACTAGAAATAAAAGTTTTCTCTTGAGACTATAAACAAAGCTCACAAGGCAAGACAATGCAAACTTTGAGTACGCACAGACACATTCAAACTTTATACAAAATGAAATGAAACAAAACAAATTGCACCAAATGCAACTTAAAATGATCACATGTGGTTTCCACAACATTTTAGTAAACCATCCTTATAAGTAAAATAAAAATGAGTTGGTACAGTAGAGGTCATTTAGATAACTTGCTGATAACTCTAATCAAAGCTCCATTTTCATCTTTCAGCCTCTGATTTTCCGCTTTGAGCTGCTCCAAAAGCTGCAACACAAAATCCATGCGTTAAAACTAGCACATAGAAAACTTTGACAACCCAGCAAATGAATCATCTGGAGTCTGCTTCCTGTTGGATAGAATGTTGGTCATAATATTAACATACTTGCCAAAGCCAAGTCAAAAGAACTAATAAGATAAAATATTTATAAATTAGACAGAGACAGAAAGGAAGATAAGATTACGGGCATAGCCATAGAAGCAAGTGACCACAAGGGGCATAAAGAGTAAAATCTATCAAGTTCATATCTTGCAACAAATAGGACAAAAACATAAAATGGCTGAAGACAAGTTATGAAGTTTTAGTTTAATTTTACATCACACACAAAAAAGAAAAAAAATTGTATTTGGGCGCTTGTGCTTGATTAAAGCTCAATTACAAAGACTGTCATCGAGTACTTTGGTCCTTTGGTCCTTTAACAGCTCAAAGGTTAGATCAGCAAGCATATCACACCACACAGCACAAGCCCGGAAAAATAGTATCACCTCAACAATCTAGAAGCTAATAGTACGGACATCTCACTGAAAATTCCAGTACAGCACAACACAGCAGAGCACAAAAATTGGCAGCTAAGAAATGGAGCATATTCAAAAAGAATAGAGACAATTCTGATAAAATATGGGTGAAAACAAGCTTAATATTGGGAGGGAAAATGTATATTTACATGAATGCTAAAAATGAGACAGAAGTACGTTTACCCAAAATTTGAGTAAAGATACAAGAGATAAAATTACACCAAAAGGGGAGAGACCCCAAAAAACCAGTGTAAAATTGACATGCTCAAAAACTGCATGAGTCACCTCAGTATTGATGAGAATCTAGCTCAAAAATTTCCCAGTAACATACACTCAAAACTAGTGTGTTTGTCTTTTATGTACGTGAGATGTTGTATGTTAGAGGGTGCACCCTTCAAGAATAAAATGCAGCAACTGTAAGTGTACTAGGGCTTTTTTTGAAAAAAGGATTGAGTGAGTTTTGCTCATGAGCCGCAGTTCTCACTTTGATTAAAGACACAGGCTACACTGGCAGGAGAAAAAAAGTCAGCACTGCATGCCCAAGAATGCAATGCAACACAAATCAAACAACATTTACAGCATTACCTAGATTCTGGCATTAGCTGAACTAGTCAGCTTAGTCACCACCCGCGTCAAAGCACGGTTTTCAGACCTCAATCTTTCGTTTTCCATTTTGAGCTTTTGCAATTGCTGTAAAAGTAAGAAATCTCTTAAGCCACACCATGTCTTCATTTTGCTTCAGTCCGCATCTATTCCTAAATGTGTGTTTCCTGGAAAGATCTCCATTTCAAAACAAGATAGGACCTTATTCCCCTGACAAACAATGCACAAGAGTGGTGCTCTATAGAGTAAGGGGAGCCCCATGTCTTGCTCATCTTATGCCCCTGTAGCCACAGCATGCATTCATTGCACAATTAGAGATACTACATTAATTGGAAAACACATTTCACTCAGTGAACTTCTTGCCTAGTAGTTATCAGATAGAACAGCAAAAGAAGGCTTTGATGTGCCTAAATTTTGGTTCAGAGTAAAGTACAGAACACATTTCTCTAAAGAAAATTTTTAAAATGGATGATTATCAACTTTTAAAAATGGAATGGAAAACAACATTATTTGTAAAAAAAATATGACTGACAAAAGCATGACAGCAATTTAAGCTACGGATCGGTAGACATTACTAAAGAATTAAAACCATATCAATTACAAAGATGTGTTTCTTAGAAACTGAAACATGACAAACAGGAGTAGAGGAATGTGTTCAAATTGAGTGAACCTTACACATAATAGCACACTCAAAAGAAGGCAAGATGGCAATACAAGAGATCCATAACACACACCAAAACTTCCTCAGAGATAGAGTAAGAAAGAGTGAAAAGACCAAATGGATTACACTTTCCAACACCATGTTTAAAAGAATAAGACACAAAGGAATACACACCTTTAGCTCCTCCTCCATTTCAGATAATTTCCGCTCCATTGCCCTCCTTTCTCGCTTTTCCAGTTCCGACAAGCTGCTTTTACTAGGCTGAAGATAACAAATTAAAACCAAACATATGAAAACTGGGACTTAAGTTTGATTGAGGAATTCACACAGATATAAAGCAAACTACTTACAACAGAGTTATCAGCAAGAGCTTTCTCCTCTTCAGTCTTCTTTAATTTCTCTCTCAAACGGTCATTTTCTGCTAGAGATTCTTCATAAAGCTGAAAAACACATGAGAAATGCATTTAGTTCTACAACTGGTCAGGTAGCTTACCCTGTTGACTCAATAACGCAAGAAAAAAAAACAGCAAACCTTCTTGTAATCGATTTCTCCATTCTCTGATCTTGCAGGAGTGACGGCTCTGCTTACAGACGCCGAGTCACCGCCAGCTGAGGAAGTCGAGCCCAGGCGAGAGGAACGCCCAGACCGGTCCGCTCCACTCTGCAACAAGGGAACGGCAAGGCCCTGTCAAACATCCAGCATCGCCGAGCATTGTGTCCTGTCACCCCGCTAGCAGCGCTAGCAGTGCCCAGCCACTAGTGCCACCCCACACGGATTCCCTTTGCGAGCTTACAACATAGCCCTCCGAAGTGGTGCTGCGCGCGCTGCTCACGATGGACGAGTTGGAGCCCGACCGCGAGAGCGCAGGTGACGGTGACGTGTAGGAGGAGGCCGCCATGGCGGAGGCTGCGGCGGAGCGCGGCGTTGACCGGGAGCGCTGCCGGGCCCGGGCCCTCTGCTTGCTGGTGCTGGTCTGCGAGTTGGACGACGTGGAGCTGGACGACGCGGTGGACCTGCCGCTGGACCGGCCGCTCGACGGGTAGCTCGACGATGACGTCGACGACGTGGTGGCTCCGGACGGCGAAATGCTCAGGTTGCCGTGCAGCACGTTGCCCGACGAGGACGACGACGGTCGGGACGGCGAGGGCTGCCTGTTGAGCGACGAGGACGACGACGAGGGCACCAGCAAGCCACCGTAGCCCGACGCCGTGCCGCCGTACGTCGTCAACCCCATGGACCCCAGCGCCAGGTACCCCGTCGAGCCGGACCCGCCGTAGCCCACCAGGCCGTGGTGGCCGTAGGGGGACCGCGTTGACGGCGAGGGCGTGGGCGTGAACATGCTGCTCATGCTCTTGGGGCGCCCGCCGTGGCCGGCGTGCAGGCTGGAGCCGGTGCTGGAGCCGAGCAGAGCACCTGCCATAGCGCCGGCGCCATTCCGCAGCACGGCCAGGGCCCGGCTCGAGCTGGACGACCGAGTGGAGCTCGGAGTCCTCGCCGTGGACCTGGCCGCCCTGGAGCGACTACCGCCGTTGCTGGACAGCGGCCCGGGGCTCACGCCCACGCCCAGGCCCGCGCGAGCGTGGTAGGAAGCCATGGTAGCGCAGCGTGCGTCCGTGCGTCAGCGTCACGCCTGCCAGACAACAGCACGGCCGTGCTCGCGGTGCTCGCCTCGCCTCAACTCGCCACACACTAGTGCCACTACAAGCCAGTGGTCCGCCACAGACCGTCCTAACGCGCCCAGCCCTCCGCGCCGCCACGCCGCGCCGCGCCGCCACGCCCGAACCACGTCACTGGCAAGGCCAACACACCAGCCTCAAACTTGAGACTCAAATATAGCCCCTCGCCACCTGACCAGGTGCTGGGATGACGCCAGACCTTGCTCTACTCCGATCCACCTCGCCTCGCCTCGCCTCACCGAGACGCAGTGTCTCCGACGCACCGCCACGCCCGCACAACGAGGGAAAGCAGAAGCTCAGAAAACGGCGTCAAGGCGATCGCCCTCGCTGGCCACCTAGTCCGCAAAGAAAACAATAACAAAAAAAAACAAAAAAAAAAAAAACAACGGAGCCGACTGTGTGCATACAATGCACTAACAACAGTAATGCAATCTAGTCCCTGCAAAGAAAAAAAGCTACAGCCAACTTTGTGCATACAATGCATCTGTAACAGTCCCAAGTGCCTATGCTCCTATTCTCGGCAGGTTGCCAAACACAAAACAAAGATGACTATGTAATTAAAGAGAAGGCCTTGATAAGACAAATCGCAATTGACCCTGGTGTAAACTTGCTTGGGACAAACTCATTCCGCATTACTAGGCATCGGTCCTTCCCTGAAGACAAAAGCTTTCCTTGACACACTGTCAAGGAGCAGTGTGCCAAGTCTTTAAGTTAAATTTAGAAATATGACACCAGACAGTCCTCTCTGGCCCGCTGGTTCAATATGCTGCTTGGTGCACCAATTGTATGCTGACTTGTTCTATAAAAAAATTGCAAAGCCCCTCTGCTAAAAACGGCACGGACTGAGTAATAAGAATATCAGAAAGGCTCGGTAAACCGGCAAGCTGTATACAGGACGCTAGTCTAGGCCCGGCCACGTCCTCGTTCGCACTCCCTTCCAATCTTAGTTAGAGTTTGCGTTGAAGAGAAGCGGACAGTGATGACGGCGGAGGAGCATGAGAGAGGAGGAGAGTGAGAGTCTTGTGATGTAACGGCCGAGCTACTGAGCCAGCCCCCGTGTGAGAAAGAGAAGGAGAAGCGGTGCCAACTTGACGAGGGCTGACCATGCCATAACTACCAGCAATATCAAAACACTGCGGACAACTCACTCTCAACGTAAGAAATGGCAACTTTGAGAAAGGCTGCGACGTTAAATCCAATTTTTTTCTTAATTTTTCTCACTCCCCTCCGCACAGCCACGTGTGGACTGACTGACTTCCTAAATATACCCGGCTGCGGGCAATCGGCCAACCCTCAACTCTGGCTGCTCTATTTATAGACAGGTGGCGGCCCTGCGCGCTTCTAGCCCAACCACAGAAAAAGGAGGTAGAGAGAGAGGGTAGATGCACAAAGAGAAAAACTTAAACTAGAAAACTCACTTCAATATGATTAGTTGTTGATTCATCCCCTTCGCCTTGATTAATTTCTTGTCTTTCCGGATCAATTTCCTACAGAGGAATTTACTATTGATTATAGTCTGCCATCATACACAGAAGCATTAGTTGACGACATTTGTACTTACATCTAAATCCACATGCACAACTCCAGTTGACCTTCGCTTTGGTCTCTTCCGCCTGGCGATCACCGCCTGAGTTGCTTGGGCATTTCTGCTGTCGTTTTCTTTGTCTTGTTCTGTTTGTTATTGAAAAGAACAAAAAATAAAAAAGATTAAAGCAACAAAATGTATAAGAGAGGAAAATGGGCACAAAAAAACCATCATAATTTCATGATAAAAATTAATATTTCAGCTTACCTTTATCTTCTGGTGGCTTCAATTGTCTTCTAAGTGGTAAAGTGACCGTTGTCTCTGCAGAGGCAGGTTCGGGTCCGGTACTCGGAGCGGAAGTTGGACGGCCTACAGATCCACCAGACGGTCGCCTGATGTACGCAGTTGGTGCCTCAGGCATGCTACTGCGATTCCGAGCATCTTCAAGTAGAAACTGGAACACAAGATAATGAGACTTAAAGAAACTGCTTACACTTAATTTCAAAACACAGAAAGATGCACCATACATGGCAGAGGAAAGGAGGGAGGAAACAAACATCAAGCAAGCAAGCAAAATACGTACGAGCCATTAAAAGGAGTTCCTAACTTTTGATGGAATAATAACTAACAAAATACTTGAAGGGGGGACCATGAAAAGCTTTCCAACATTTAACAATCAGACAAAACCAGAGTCAGAATATGGCTGTGGAGATTTCAGACGCATTCACAAGAATTCATGAGGAGACAGCACATTCACGCTATGACATGAAACATATATTTGGAAGTGTGATGAGGAAGTTCCCATGCAGTGGCACATGGCAGCTGCAAACATGCGCCAGTGACCCTCACTCAAATATCACAAGATAAGAAAAGACACAAAGCATTTCAGCAAATCTTCATTCCTTGTTCAGCATTCACTTCATTCACAGACAGGATACGAAGCAGTCAGGTGAAATGTAGGAAACAAAACTTGCAAGGAGATATCCACAAATTTAATATACTCAATAATCTGACTTAGGTGTAGATGTTAATGCTTTGGACTAAGAATTGCTAAGAAAAGCGCAGTAAAGATGTAAAATCTCTGTTCATTGGAAGACAATGTCAAGCTTTGTTTAAGAAATGGAAATGGGACTCTCCTTACAAATTTGTGCAAATTTAATGACAGGGTCTTGTTCACACCTTGCTTCGGTCTCCGTTGTCAACCCGCAGGCGCCACGAGGGCCGCCGCTCGCACGAAAAGAAACCGCCGTCTTCTTTTTCTTTCGTAGGACTAGGAACAGTGGGCTCACCGGTTGTTATTGTGGCTGATATCGAAGTACAGTTATTGCCATAAATCAAATCCGCTGCATTTGGCTGTCATGGGCACAAATTTTATTCACATTACAGCAAGCACTAATATTCTATTATTATTAATGTTTTGTTGAGTTTGGACTGCAAAAATTATTATGCATTGGGATTGGGATATATCTTTCCTTCCCAGAAAATGTACAGAACACCTGAGCATGTAACACAATTCACAAACCCAAGCAATGCAATCTCAGGTGTGAGGCAACTTTAGTGGACCAGGTAATTTCAAACTGATTATACGAGGATGCTAGGTCAGTATTAATGGGCACAGGTAAGCTACACACTAAGCAGAATCTTATGTAGCATCAATGATGAGGGTATGTGTACAAAATGTCACCAGAAAACACTGCTCCAATCATGGCATCACACTTCCACTTGCAACCATTACAAATCAACTAATGAATGTACCCTCCACAATTATTAACAATAACAAAAATTTACTTCTTTTCTCAGTACAAAAAGATTATATATTGGTGGCTTAACACAAACCTGGTCATTGTTGAGTTGTTGAGTAGCTTGATGAAGTTGCTGTTGCTGTTTCTTCTTCACCAACTGTTCAGCTGACTTAATCTCTTCCAAAGTAACTCCTTGAGTAGACCGCCGAGTTTCTCTTACCCTCTTGGCATGGGCTTTTCGCTGGGTCTCTGATTCCTCATCGCGAACAGGAGGTACAAAAGACCTGAAACGGAAAAATGAACAGACAAGTCTTTAGATCGATTTAATTCAATGAACAATGATAAGCTACTATTTGGGGGAATAAAAATTGAAACATACTCCACACTGAAAAAGCCTGATCTGAATGTGCTACTATCAAAGCTACTACAACATTAAATGAACTAGCAAATATGGATTCAAGGCAACACAATTAGTAGAAAAAGCCAATTTTTAAAAAAATTCACATAAATACATAAAAAGGGTAACATAGGTGAAAAGATGAGCTAGATGCTGAGAGTATTAGTTAACTTTTTTTTTCAAAACAAGGCTTGCATCCATTGTTAATTCTAGACCACACCCATACTTTATGTTCAGTCAAACTGGACTATAAATAATCCAGTTTCAAAATGAACCAAAGCAAAAGAACGTTTGCGAACAAAAACCAGATCAAATAAAATCTACTCAGTGAAACTACGTAAAACTTGTGATTCAAGCAAAGCATGCATTGACAGACAGAACACACTGCTACGCACTTGAAGAAATTTTTGAAGATGTTCCCTGGACTAAGCTTACTTCCCCCAGGCGTGGTAGGGGTGGTAGGAGTGGTAGTTGGACTACCACTAGAACTACTGTCCTTAGGCCCGCTGCAAATTAGTGCAAAACACTTGGCTACAGTGTTGTGCTTCATACACAAATACCACACACATGAGCAAGGCAATAGCCATCACAGCAGGAAGAAAGGTCGCTACACCATAAAAGTTTTAATCCTTTCATTGCTTCACAAGTAGAAAGAAAAATCAGTAAAATAAAGCCTTGGATTTTTCAACTTTTATAGTGTGAAACTTTTCCTAACAAGGTGAAATTCCCATTGAAAAGAAAACAGATACATGCCTTAGAAGTGCAAAAGTGGAATGGTTTCATGAAAAGTAAGCTCTAAGTTGTGAAGAACAAAAGTCAGGAAGAAAAGACAATATAATAGATACTTAAGAAAATGAGAAATTTGGAGTAAAAAATAATTTTGCTGTGCATATGAGCCTATGGTGAATTTGTACCATTCATTGAAAAGTGAGGCATGCACCGACACCAATGTTTAGCAACACAAGTAATAATTCCATATAAAGCATCACAAACAATTATACAGGTACATTGAACCTGAACAGGAAACCACCATGAACCCTAATGTCAAAACCCAAGTAACAATTTAACAGAGCACTTCTGCACATGCATTCTGAGCTCTTCAGTTGTGGGATTCCAGTCCCATGATATGTACTCTAACAAAAATGCCTACATTGAGCAATGAAGACCTTACAGCAAACAAATTTGTGACACTGATATTTATATGCTACACTTATAGCACAGAATGTTGTGACCTAATGTAAAAATGAGGAGGAAATCACTCACCTTCGGACCGGAGGCACAGAATTGATGGTAGTGCTTTGTGATGCTCTGTTGGCAGGGTCAGCTGGTGGGGGCATTAGGCTAGCTGCAGTTGCAGGTGCTGTAGCTGCTGCTACAGCTGACACCACAGCTGCAGAAGCAGTCTTAGTAGGGCTTGCTTTGTTTTCGTCAGCGGATCCTCTACGACTGAAATAAAGCAATGGAACATATGTAAACAAACTAAAGACAACACACAATAAAATATGTGGGTCAAATTTTTGATTGTAACCACATTATATCCCATAAAATGTGTCAATATTAATAGGTATTTTCTTTCAAACTGAACAACAGACATAATTTGGTCACAAAACATAAGTTACTGCAAATTCAACAAATGACAAGGAGGTTACAATTCCAGGGTTAATAGGTTATAAGTTGTTAATGGTCATAATGATACTGCATTACTGTACAGCTCAATAAGTTGATATGCACAAAAAGGTCATTTTTTAAACTTCCTTTACGGCAAACACGTTAAAGAAAAAGACAAACACAAACACTAAGCACAAGCACTTATTTTTGTCAGCAAGTACAAAGAATATATACATGCTTCTTTCAAGTTCAATACTAATTTGATCCTAGGTTTAGAAATGTACAAAGATAAGTCAATGAAAGCAGCTTGCAAAACAGCAATGGCATATCTTACGCACGCAAAGGCATACAAAGGAATGCAGGCATACTTTTGATATGCACGACAATCTGTGTTGTGCATTGGGACATGACCTCACAATGGGAAAACTTATCAGGAAAATACTTTGGATACATAAAGAGAGCATTTGAAGCCCTCATTCTGTGGTGTGGTTCAATGAGTGAGGCCGAACTGACAGATTTGAGAACCTACCTGGGAAAGTATTTCTCTCTGAGTGAGGCAGATCGAATGGGTAAGGCTGACACAGACTGTGAGGAAGGCAATGAGGGGCATGAACCGTTTATTCTTGCATGTAACTCCAGGTATCTGCGGTAAAACCTACACGCATACAACATAAAACAAACACAAGCTCAGTCATGCATGCTCTTTCGAAGCACCAAACAGTTGATTCTCTACTTATTTGAATTCAAGATGTAGAGAGCACATAAAATAATTTTTGATTCAATAGTTCTTATGGAATGTGGCCTAAAATTCAAATAAATATGGTACGAGGAAAATGACAAGCAAAAACGCACAACATGCTGTGATCAAGCAGGCCTCAAAGGCATAAAGCATGAAACCTTAAAAACAGTTTGCTTGATTTATATTTTCATTTGAGGGGAGGGGAATCGGACATACTATAAAACAAATCAAGGAGCATGCAGTATGAAAAGTAAGTTAAATCAAAGGAGAATTATACAAGGTAAATGGGTTGGTTAGTCATTAATTTGATTTTACTATATTTTCACTTACTTGTCATCTTCAATGAAACTTTGGGTTCTCCGTACTCTAAGAACAACATCCTGATTATCTGCCGAACCACGCCCGCCAGCAGGCGCAGTATCACTGTTGTCATCCTTGTCACCAAGACCTGTGCAATAAGAAAAATAAACAATGCAACCTACAACAACAATCATATCATAAGATGCCTAGGTGACTTTAAAATATATTTATCAAGGAAGGAAATTTCTTTTGAGATTTACAGCACTTTGTTGCTAGACTTTTCAGGTGTTTCAATAACACAAAGGCACTACATTCTTTTTCTCCCCACCCCAATTCACTACACAAAATAATTGTTAAAAATGGCCTACATTATTGGGTAAGTGATTGACAAACTAAACAAGCCACTTGAGGTAAGCGCCCATCAAAATCAAGCCAAAAAGACAAGAGAAATAACAAATCTTGTTTTTAAAAAACTAGAAAGGTAATACATTTAATGTGTAAAATCAAAAGTGCATTATGTTAGAGAAATAGGGAAACAACAGAGCAAAACATTGTTAAATCCACCAATAATTCCAAAATCCCCCCTCTCAAAATATGATGTATGTATCTTGATTTAATTCCATGAATGTTGTCGACATGCCCCATGGGAATGGTGAATTGCAGAAAACAAGTAGAAGAGCACAGCGGCACCACAGGACCCATTCTGAGCCTATTTAAAAGACTTGTCTCAGACATCGTGTGGTTGACATTGAAGAGCAGTACATAAACATATCTATTAAATTAATTACTAAAGTGAAGAAAAAACAACAACTAAATGCACTAAGGAATGAAATCAAACATTAGAATAGGTTTACAGATTCTTACAGGCAGCAAACTAATTAAAAATTGCAACAGACTTATGCAAGTAACAGAGCAGGTGCATATAGAGTAAACTTGAAAAACAAACATGTTATTTCTAAGATTATGCTTTCCAAAGAAGCCACTACTTCAAACCACAATGATTTGTACTGCACCGACTCACGTAAAGTGAAATTCCGCGGAGGAGGCTGTATTTGATAGTGATTCTGCTCTGACCGACCCCTCACAGAACCTGGCCTTCTCCATGGTGTTTCATTCTCACCTTGAGCGAGTTTGGGTGGAGCACTGGGAGCCTGGAAAAACGGACAAAAAGGAAATGAGTAACAGGAATCTCTAGAATTTATAATCTCGCTTCTTTTAAATTTAATCTTAACAGTAATTAACTTACTGGGTTTGTAGGACCATCACCTATTCTGTTGACTTGGTTCTTCTTTTCTGTAATAATAATTAGAAAAACACAATAAATTACAATGTAAGAGAGAATGACCTTTTTGCGCACAATAAAGTAGACTAACAAGGAACAGAAGCTGAAACTCCTACTGAATGGTGTAGCTAGGACTATTCTAGAGTGCTACTAACTCACCTTCAAGTCCTTCCTCAAACTTATCAAAACTAGAATCACTTGAGTCTGAGTCTGTTGAGTCAATTTCAGAATCAGACTCACTAGAAGTCTCATCCTCATCTTTAGCCGCATGCACATCAGAAAATAATAATAATAACCAAAAACATTTCCCTAGGCCAATCAACTTAGAACTACCAAATTTACTGAATCATTAATACTCTAATAAAGAATTGATTTTAAAATTAGAGTTCAGAAAACCCAACCTGACCACACATCCTAAACTCCCACATAAATCAAGTGTACAATACTTACCAACTTGGCTTTCCTCCTTGGAATCTTCCTTTCCAATCTTCACTTCCACTTTCTTAACCTTTGAACCAGGAGGTCCTTCTTCTTCCGATATGGTTCGATCCAGCACTTGACGTTCTGATGATGTATCCTTGTTGATAAGACTGGATTTGTCTGAGCCCGACATCCTGGTGACGGAAGACCTGCATTGTAGAGTCTGTCTTTGTTATTAATGGTATCATCATGCAGGCTAATGCACACACACACAGAGAAAAAGGAGGAGGGGTGAGGAGGAAGTATGAAACTGAATTCTTGATGGTTGAATAATCTCAAATGATGAGGAAATAAGGAGGGGAGGGCAAGTGCTAAAAGATAGGGACAGGCAAGGCACATCACAAAACACCACAAAATTGAGGTGGAAAAGCAGGTAATGCTTTAAAATACTTTAAAATTTAAAAAAAAAAAAAAAAGGCATTTATACTGAAATTTGATTAAAAGCATTGCAGGGGGAACCAAACAAATCAATAATGACCGTCTCTTTGGTGTGTTGGCAGCTGCTTTTCTGTTGATTATTGCATTAATATCTCCATTGTCCTGTTGTAACGTGGCTTGTTTCTTCTTGAGCTCCTCTAATGTCCGAACCATATCAAGATCAGCCACATCAAAAGCAGTCTGACCCTAGAAAGTATAAATAATAGTCTTAGATAGTCGGTAAAACAAAAAAGTAGCTTTTAACCATAAACCAAATAAGACTGGTAATAAACATACCACATAGTTTTTAATATCCATATCACAGAAGTGTTCAACAAGCATCTCACACGCTTCCTTTTGACCCCAATGTGCTGCAGCATGGAGTGGTGTCCAGCCATCACAGTCTTGTGCATTAATATCTATTTTACCCTGGAGCAGGACACTGAGAAAGGGAAAAAATGAGGGAAATTAGTCTTTGTTTTTAAATGCTGAGAAAGATTTACTATGTAAGATAAGAAGAAAACATTTACCTGATGACTTTTATATAGCCCTTAGCTGCTGCAACGTGCAACGCAGACGCACCGGTCTTCGGATGTGGCACATCATCAATTTCTCCACTATTTATCCATTCCTTGGCATCCATCATCATCATCCGCTCCTCTTCACCTCTTGCCTCTTCACAATCAATTTCTAAACAAAAAAATTTCGTCCCTCATTAGAGTTGAACATCAACTACAACAAGGCATTTAAAAATCCCTGTTTTGTCAAGCAAAAGCCTCACAAAAAGAAAGGCGAATATTACCTTTGGCAATAACATGTTGTTGCAGTAATTCTTCCATCTCATCAGACTCAGCAATGTCCAGAGGCAGCTCCCCATCATTGTTGACGGCGGCTACGTTGGCTCCGTGTTCAATTAAATATCTGCAAATGAGGCGAAGAGCGTCAGCAACTCATTGGGCCACCGTCGAGCAAACGTCCACATAAAGTCGACCCACTTGGCTATGCTAATGAAGCCGCAGGACGCAGTGGCGTGCAGGGGGGTCCAGCCTTCGTTGTCGCCCCGGTTCACGTCCGCGCCGTGCTGCACCAGGAACTCCACCATGTCCAGGTTGTCGTCTATGCACGCCTGCAAGCCAAAGCCGCCAAAGCGCCATCCATTAATACATTGCAGTCCACCCGTTGCAACGTGCGGCCCGTACGGCCGGCCACGCGGGCCACGCGGGCCTCCCCTCCCCTCCACACCGCCCCAAAAAGGAAACGGACGGCGGGGCAAACAAACAACACGCAACAAGACGGAACAGGAACATCGCTTTTGGGCCGGCCTGTACACCCCGCGCTCCCGCGCACCGCCCAAGAGGGGGCGCGGCTGTCGGGGCTGTCGGGGCGGCCCGTACTCTCGTAAGCCCACCAGCACCCACCAGCTAAATCGGGCTGTCGGCGAAGCGGTCCCAAAGCTCACAGCGCCGGCAGGCCCGGCACGGTCGGCCGTCAGGCGCTCCCCTAGCACCTTGCCCCCAAAACGACGAAGCCGCGGTGGGCCGCCCCCAGGTGCCCCCCCAGGTGCCACCCTCGGCTGAGAGGAAGGTCCGAGGAAAGTCACTCAGGTCCTGAGTGACTAAAGAGGAGCATGAGGCGATACACCATTAGATTGTGTTTCCGAAACGAAAATCGGCAGGCCAACGTTTCCCGAGCAGCGGCGCCAGAACTGGACTTCCCCCGGCCGAGCTGTACGAGGCACCAACGAGCAGCACGCATCGCCGCCGAGCCGAGCGAAATGGCCGATGGGTTGGCAGTAAAGCGCTACACGTGTTTCCGAGTGGCCATCTGTCCGAGCCCGGCGCCTCGGCCCGAGCGCGGTGTGTGCAGCGGCAGCAGTGCGCCAGCAGGGCCGCGAAGGCGCGAGGGAAGCATCGCCGATGACGCCAAACGAACGGCGGCAGAGCGCGGCAGAGCCAAAATTCCACCTCGGGACCGACGATGCGTCCATGCTTGGCTGTAAACTTGAGGACCGACGAGCCCAGGACGACGACACGGGGCCGGAATCGGGGACCAACGTCCAGAAGCCCCAAAAACTTGAAAATGAAGGCGAAGATAAAGGGGCGCCCCCCCCCCCAAAAAAAAAGACCGTGGAGCACGGGGAATGACCACGACAGAGACGCTGGCGCGCTGCATGCGACGCCAATCGATTCATGCAGGTATACAGGGCCGCTGTGGACGCGCGGTGGACGCGACAGGGGTCGACAACCGACACAAAAACACACCGCCGCTCCGCCGCGCCGCCCAGCCACGCCCCGCGGCGCTGCATCAAAATTAGGTCCATATCGCCGCAGCCTGCGTCCTGCCCGTCCTGCGAGCGAGGCAAGCCAGGGCCAGCCAGGCCGGCGAGCGGCAGCCGCAGCAGCTGCAGGTGGCGGGGGCCCGGGGCCCGGGGGGCGTAAAGGACGTGTACGCGCAACGCAACGCGTGTTCCAAGACAGAAATACTCCCCTTTCCCTCATCCCCGTGCCCGCCGCCCATAGCCACGCCGACACTTTTCCTCAATATTTGACCGCGCGTGCGTGAGGGGGATAGGCTCGTCGGTGGGGGTGGGCCGCGGAAGCAGAAGGTCTGTCTAGCGGGGGCGGATGTCGTCGAGGATGTCGCCCGGGACCGCGGTCCACCTGCCGCGGCGGTGCTGGGCGGGGCGCGCCACGAGGTGCGCCGGCATGGCGGCATGGCGGCATGGCCAGGCCAGGGGGATGGGATGAGACGTCGCGGCCCTTGAACCTCGCGGCCTCGGCGCCTTGCGGCCCTCGCGGCCCCGGGGCGTGCCGGCGTGACGGCGCCGACTCCCACGCCAGGCTGTGCGCGGTGCTGCGCGCGCTGCCGGTGCTCTGCTCGCTCCGCGGCGGGCGGCGTGACGTGACACACGAATTAGACCGACGGAAGCAGGACGGGGACAGGACAGGCGAAAAATAAACCGCCGCCATGGGCCGCGCCGCGCCGCCCGCTAGACGTTTGGCAGGTGTCCTGTACCAGTAGACCAGTAAACCCCAGCCGCCAGGCCCGGCCAGGCCCGGCCAGGCCGAGGGCAGGCCACCAAGGCCGATGGGGCCGAGGGACGACGCCGTGCGATCGAGGGATCGCTGTGTCCTTCGTTCCGGCTTCTTTCAGGACCTTCCCTCGGGACCCCCTTGAGGGCGCCGAGGAACCGGGCCGCCGAGGCCGCCGTCAGCCGTCACGGGGGGGGGGGGCGGCGCGGCGGCGGGCAGTCAAAACACGGGCGGCGAGACGGGCCGCGAGGACCGCGTCGTCCGTCTTCTCTTTCCCACACACGTCGTCGAGCTCCAAAGACCCGCACCTGCCCCGTCCTCGTCGTCGCGTCGCGTGGCGGCGGAGGCCCTGGCCGACACACGCGGCACACACCACCAAATTTACGCCGCCTAGGGATTTACAGCCGCAGGGGACACTTTTTCAGCCGCGCCCCAGGGACGCTCGCGACTTACGGGGGTCGTCAAGGAAGAGCAGGGGTGGAGGGACGCAAGGTAGGGCAGGTGGGAGGAGCGGGGGTGCCCTTAGACCCGTGGTTTCCAACAAGCCCGCATCAGAGGGCCCGCCCGGCCCGACGGGGAAGTACCGCCTCGGCGCTGTGTCCTGGCGGGCTGGCCGCCCTGGTTCCTACTTGGCGACGGCCGCCGGCGGCCCGTCGAATTAGCGAATTGGTGCCCGCTCGCCCCGCGGGGCCGCGGTCTGCGGGGACAAGCGCCAAGGTCATTCTCACGCGCAGGACGCTTCGTGACCAGTTTCCAGGCATTTCTGGGCACCTTTTGGCTGCCGTTTGGCTGCCTTCGGCGGCGAGGGTCATCTAGGAGCAGCGCGCACCCACGCCTGCCCACGCCTCTGGCCACGCCCAGCCCTCCCGTCATTGCAAAGAGCGGCATCAGCAAGCATCGTCTAAATTTAGCGCCCCACACCCTAAGCGCTAGGCCGGGCGTGCTAGGCGCCCCCTCGCGGAACACAGGGCACCCCAGTGTGCGTGCGTGTGTGTGTGAAGTGTGTGGTTTGGACAAGGCGTGCAGGACCCTGGCGCGACCCAGGCCCGCGCTAGACTAGCGCTGGGGCTTCCCCCATTCACGTGCGTCAGAGCACGCGTCTCAATGCTGGCACTTGGCTGGGTCGCGGGTTCGAATCCAAGTAAAAGCCCCTTCGCGCGCGCTGCCGCCAACTTCCGGTTTCGGCGCGGCTTCCCTGGGGGCCGCGAGGGCGTCGAGCTGTAGTATACACTTATTCCGCAAAGCGTTATGAGTCGCTCCGTCTCTCTCGCGCCCACACGTGAGTGCGAGAGAGACTGCGGGCGAGATCACTCTGCAGGCGATCTGGGTGGGGCCGTATCTGTCACTGACGAATCCACTGGCCGGCAGTGGCGGCGAGGCACGGCGACGCGTCCCCCAGGCTTCTTCGCCTGCGTTCGCCCGCTTCGCCCGCTTCGCACGTTTCGCGCCGCCGACCGGCCGTCGGCCGATGGGCGTTCCCTACGTTCCCTACGGTTTGCCGGCCGAGTCAACAGCGGCACAGCGGCCGTCGGGAGATAAGACGCGGCCGGCGCGGCCAGCCGGAAGGGCAGGGAATTCCAAACGCGGCACTGCGCATCACTCTGGGGCCGGCTTGCGGTGCACGCGGCCGCCGGGTTCAAGCTCGTCACCGCGTTGTCACACGCACCGACAGGGGAAACATGATTGAGATTAGGGCATCCGCGAACAGACAGACAGACAAGCGGGCGCGCATCACTCGGCCCTGCCGGGCCTGCCGGCTCCTGCCCTTGCGCCGCGGGTCGCGGGCGTGGCTTGGCGCGGCGAGCCTCGGGTGTGCCGGCCCGCGCTCCGCTCCCTGCAGTAAAAATAGACCGATGAAAGTGCCGGGTCCCTGCAGGGTCCTAGTCTGGGCCGTCGGGGTGGGAGCAGACGACCCTTCAGACTAGAGTACACGACAGCAGCCCCATCACAGAGAACAAAAAGTTACTTCTCAGAGGGCTTCACTTCACACGAAGGTCTTTCAAGTTGCGAAACAATGCTACCCTGTGTATGTTTGACTAGGTCATCTGTCGTGCTGGACGGTTTGGGAACAGGATGGTTGAAATGACATTAAAGATACGTTGGCCATCAAGGAAATCATACAACCCAAAAACAATTTGCAATAATTGAATACACGATGAAAGCCATCAAGGTGCAGATTATATGAATGTACCATCTATGAATGGCAATCATGATGAGTTGTGAATGGAAAACTTTATCGGGAGACGTGACACATCAATTAGAAAACTATTTCACTTGGGTGAAGATTACAAAGGCTTCATAAGAAACTAACCTGTGTAACCTACTTAACACCTGAACATAACCTCTCGCATTCCACCCAAAACCCATTCATTTATCTTTCCATTCAAACACAATGACAATAATATAAGTAACCAATGAGTAAACACGTATGAGATTAAACCAGACAAAGGGAATATGCCATGGATCAAATTTCAAACCTTCATAGTGGGAAATAATAATAATATAAAACAAAATGCAACAGGCTACTACGTAGAAATTAAAAATATGCCTTAACTAACACTGAATACCACAATGATAATAAAATAAAAATAAAATCAACATGTAACAGCACTATTAAAGTATCATCAAAGCAAGATTTTTACATTTTTTCACAAGTATTTGCTGAAAGAAAAAGCTGAAAGGCTTGGAATCAGCTGTCCATAAAAACAACAATACAGTCCAACAGGTTCGCTAGGAATGGCTCAGAAGTGACAAATTTGGTAGGGCCAAGTGTTTAAATATTTGTCTCAAGATTTACGTGTCTAAAAGTGTAAGACTCATGTCAGCTTGGACAAAATTTGGAAGCAGTGTCAAGCACTTGAACTCTACACGGCCATCTTGTAGCCCTCAGAACATCAATTTCCAAGTGTGTTTTTGGACATCAAAACATGCACATGACGAGTGCAGACACGACCGCTTCCTCAAGTGGAAGCAGTACATGGCATGAGGCGTAAAATTACCTGATGCAGAGCTGTCAGTCCGTCGACATTGGCAGTGTCTATGTCAGCCCCTTTCTCGACCAACCGCACCACCTCCTCCTTGTCTCCTGATGCACATGCTGCTAAAAACACACAGCCAGCGGAAAACTTGATTTTCCGCGTCTTGGTCTTGAGCACAGTGTCTTCCCGGTTCGTTTCCGATTCTTCCCAACGCTTTAATTGTTCGGCCCTTTTAAAAAGAGCCGAACTTGATCGGGTTTCTATCGACATAATTACGGCTACTCCATAAGCTACGTTTCTGTACCATCAACATGGAGGGAGCGGTCCCGACTCCCGAGTCCCGACTCCGCTCGAGCACCGCCACTTGGATGCAGCGGTCTGTTTTGCTTGTGGTGGAGGTCAAATTCGCTTCTCGTCGATTCCCATGTTGCCCCAAGAAACGGGGTTCATATCATTTTTTAACTTCATTCCAAACTCGAAAAAATTAGCCTGTTCAAGTAATCGTCGAGGGAACGCACATTAATGCGGTAAAATGATTAAAGCGAAGATTTTGAATTCGAATCCGAATCTATATTTCACAGCGCAAATTTTCATATCGTTCTTTGGCTCTTGCTATGTCAAGAACAGGTTATGTTGATGTTTTCGTTTTGGTAGCAGAAAGCCGAGTCTGAAGTGAAAACAGAACTCCAAATCCTAACTTGTTGTCCCCCCTGTGTTCAAACGTGTTAAAAACGGCCTTTACTTTAATTTGATTGTGTCCAATCGAGGTTCAAAATGGATCCAGACAGCACGGATTCTGACTCATCTGTCGATTTTGAGATTGATACAGAGCCTGCATTTGTGTTAGATGACCTAGTGGACAGTGACAGTACCCCTGGTTCTGGTTCTGGTTCTGGTAGGAATTATTTTCTTTACAGATTATTCCAACTAACAATTTTTACAATTCCTGTATGCTGCAGATTTTCTTTTTTCTTACAGCTGATTCAGAGTTTATTCCGTCGAATCCAGGCACAAACCCAATGGAACACACCTTTGATCCATCTCTTCCTTCGCAACATTCGGTAAGTGAAGTGAAATTAATTTGAACTTCCTATTTATCCTGTTAGCTTTTGCAGAAAAGTCACCAGTACTCTTTCTCTACAACATGCAGTATCTAGGAACAGATCTAACAGTGCTGTATGGACGGACAGTACTGGATGAAGATGATTCAAACTGGATTCCACTTTATCCTCAAGTAGATGTTGTGCTTGTTCCTGGTCAAACCTTGCCCTTGGCTATTTTCAACGCATCATATATTCAAATGATAAGACAAGTTATTAGTGGAAACAGAACTTTTGGAACTATCTGCATGCTGTAAGGATATAGAACCTAATAATTCATGCAGCAATCCTAAGCTAAATCTGTGCCTTGTGCTGTCATATAAAACTTGCTATTTTCTCTAGACGAAAGACTCCTGGATCTGATGAGTTGAGCCATGCTGATGTGGGAACAACTGCAGAAATCTATGAAGCTCATGAAAGTGCAAGCCATCATGCCATACGTGTTAAAGCAATAGGACGACAGCGTTTCAAAATTTTAGAAACAACAGACCATACAAGCGGGTAAAATGACCTTTAACTTTTACATTGTACAAAGAAACATGAAGTTATGAATGGAAATGTTGAAACTATAAAATTTATGCTGTTCAGGTTTCTAACTGCAAGAGTTAGAATACTTCCAGAAGTAAAACTCCCAGACCCTCTGTCCATGATGTCATGTCCAGTGTTGGATCGCTTCAGAACTAAGGCAAATATAGGAGCATCTACAAAGAGAAAGTAAAAACTTACTAGAGATTTTTGGTTTGGTTTTGTGTTTTTTGTTAGTTTATTCACCTTTGAGTATCTTTCTAGACATAATCTGAGGCTTTATGACTCCATTTCTTCAATCTGGCCTGCATGGGTTTATGATCAATATGACCCAGAACGATTAGTGAAACAAATGTTGGAGATTTTATCCTGTCATAAAGCAGGTAATATTAATTTCTGTTTATCCAGCTTATCTCTTTCTTCCCCATCACACCAAATTAACTTTCATTGTCTTATTGTTGCCCTTTTCTTTGTTGCAGTTTCTCCAATTCCAACGGATCCTGTTGCGTTATCATATTGGGTTGCACGTTCACTTCCAATCAAGGATTCCAGAAGACTTGTGCTTCTCCGAATGAATTCTGCCATTGATCGTCTACGATGGGAAATTTTCACACTAAACAAGGTATTATTTTATTTTTTTTGGTCGTATTCTCTGTGCTTATGACAGTATCACAAGTTTTCTAAAAATGGTTGTGAATGCTTGAAATTTTACAGCTAAGCTTATTATGTTGCCGTCAATGTGGGCAACATGTAGCTCATCAACAAGATGTGTTTTCAATGTCAGTGGAGGGCATGCAAGGGACCTACTGCAATGTATACGGCTATGTTTATGAAACAGTAACCATACACAAGGCTACTGGACTGAGGCTGCAAAATGCTCCACCTTCCACCGAGTTCAGCTGGTTTCCAGGGTAGGTAAAATGATGGAAGCTCACTGTCCACTGAGGAATCTGTGTTACTCTCATTTCAGCAGTTTCATAGAGAAAGTGAAGAAACACAAGAACTGTTGCTTATTTTGTTTTAGGTACGCATGGACAGTTGCTGCCTGTTCGCGGTGTAGGAAACACATGGGTTGGCATTTTACAGCAACAAGCCCTGATATGAAGCCGCGAGGATTTTGGGGGCTTTGTCGGCGAGCTCTTGAAGCAAAGTTGGAGGAAGTTGAAAGTACTGAGTGAGTGCTGCCAGATAGGTCTGGGTATTCAAATAAATGTGATTCAAGCTGCAGTCAGTGGTGGCAGCCTCCATATATGTGATTCATTGCTATGTACAACTACATGCTCAGAGAAATTTTCTGAGGGGTCAAGTGGGTTAAGTTTTGTTGTGAAGTCAGACTGTAAAAGGAAATAAAAGCAACAGTAGTTTACCTTACTTCAGTACAATGGATATTTGAGCAAGTCTAATTTAGATGAAGTGTAAAGGAACTAATGTAACTAAGTGATAGTTAAATAATCTAAATAAAAAGAAAGAAAAAAACAGAAGTAAGTAATGATAGAAAGTATTTATTTTATTAAAAACTTACAATACCCAAGATTCACACCGTACAAGTGTGTGTTTCAGTACAGTGTGACTAATGTCTGAGCTTTGTATCAATCTTTAAAATACTGAACACATAAAAGTCAAAGGAGGACACACCCATCCTAATGGAACTTTCAGCAGATAAAAATAACTTTAAATTTAAAAACAGACATTTTACGTACTGAACAACAGACTTCGTAAACAATTACACTTGGGATCCATGAACTGAACACAGTACCAACTTGATCACAAAATGATCCAGGAGAGTGAGCTTACAATTAAGTGGCCTTGCACACTAGACTGAATTCATAATAAGTCCAAAACACCTACATCGAATAGTAAGGAATGTTAGTTATCACATCACTTCCATAGCACTTTGACTACTATTTTCACTGAAACCAATGGATGCTAAGCCATTGGTAGTAGGTTCACTAGTGCCTGCCATGGAGTCCATTGTCTCTTCATTTACTGCTTGATTTTGTTCTTGAGTCTGAGTGGATGTTTCCGAATCATCCCAGTTTATCTTGATCCTGGTAACTCTAGGTTGAGAGCTAAGAATATTACGATGAACCTGTGACAAGAACCATATGCTTTGAGCCTGAACTACGGTTACGGTATTTAACAGTTCATAAGATATTATGATATCTACCTTATCAAACTGAGGTTGAGCTGGTGGGTTCTCTTTCAGCTCTGGATCATTGTATTCATTGTTGATAAAATAGCCGACTCGCACAAATTCCTGGCCACGGTAGGAACAAGTGAGCAAGACTACAGTGACTCCAAGAGCATCAGCGATAGGGATTTTGTTGACATCTGGAGGATCAGCCTGAAAAGACAAAAAACAAATCATTACCCTAGGTAACAAGACAAAAAAGAATGTCATACGAGATACCAACCTGGAAAACGAACATGTGCTTTCCCTCAGGGATAGGTCCCACATAAATGGTATCCAATACCTGGTCATGCTCCTCACTCTCAGCTGAACCGACATAAATCATTTTCCATTCCAGGTCTAGAAGAAACCAAGAAACACTCAATCATTCATAATGTAAGTGTAAAGCATCATATCAACATGAACTGGACCCGTGTCAATTACAATAACAATCAATACAATCCAAATAGCACATGATTTAGGACAATAAAAGTCATTTGTAAGGATGACAGGAGGCATGAAGCAAAGCCTGTTATTTGAAACTTAACAAGGATCCCGTTGCAGGTCTACAGCAAGGTGGTGGCACCCATTCAATCAAATTGGGCTCTCACCATTGGCCTGTCAAGGGTTTGGGGTTATAGCTCACCTTCTTTTAACTCCTCAATGCATTCAAACGTCAGCTCAAACTGAAAGGGATTGAGGAAGGGTGAAGGGTTGTCCAAGACGACGACATTGCACAGCTGTACTTTGGCCATGATCGAAAATCACCCTGTAAACAAAGCTCCATTCAGCAAAAGTGAACCGAGTCTGTCGGTGTCACAAGTGAAGGGTTCAACGGCTGTCAGCTGGAAGCCGAGAAAGACAACCTTGAGAAAGATGGACTTACCTCGCCTGCACGATACGACAGAACAAGCGAACTGAATCCACGTTCCGTCCGCTTAGAGCCAAAAAGTGTTCTAGCGTCCTGCCCAAGTTCTGGTCTGACCTGAACGCTTCAAATGGCGCCAATACCGTTCCGTTGGCCGTATATATGTACGACAGCGACAGTGTTGTGTTCCAACAAAAGCAACAGTGAATAAAAGAAGAACAGGGAGAAGAAGTTTCGTACGTGCAACCAAAACACAAGAAAGAAATCTGTTGGAAATGAGGATTAAAAACATTCGCTGAAGAACGTAAAACGCAACCAATGCTGGAAAGAAACTTTTTTGAATGCGTCATTTGTAAGGAATTTCTTGGTTTCAAGTGCAATGTGATTCTGCGAAGGCTGCAGATTGGTACCACTGGGAACCACGTGATAATGACCTCATTTGCGGCGTTTTGATTGGTCCAGGGATATGGGCGGTAAGCCATTTCAGCGAATGAACGACGACGACGTTATCTTATGTTCGGAAACGGGCCAAACTGCTAACTTCCTGGGCACAGGTGTTCATTAATTACCCTACACTGACCGTTGATGAATGACGGGTTGTGAATGTAGAAAGCAAGGAGAATCTAGGGTTTTTCTTTGTTTAAAAAACAGCTGTTTATTTGCCTTGTGACTAGCTATTCATGGTTATAATGATTATATGTATAGTATATAAAATATAGAACATAGAAACATGCCATATCGGGTAAAATACACCGTTTTGTAATATAAGTTGTTTTCAAAACATTAAAAAATTAAAACGCCTTGGGAGGGGGGGGGGGGGTAAAAATCTCTGAATGGGGAGATAACTTTCACATTATCAGAGCAACTGTAACAACATCATTGGTTAATTCATCATTCTTAAAGGATACACAATCATGATTAATACAGTACTAAAGCAAGCTTGGTGCCATGTTAAAGTGGGGGACAAGTAAAAGCAGAAGTTCATACAAAGCAAACATGCTTTTAAGAAGAAAACGTCATCAACATAAACATATCTGCAACAAACAAAACAAGAGGCAAGCATTTGGTCGCTAATACATAGTATGGCAAGTAAACAGTGAATAACAATGATAAATGCTTTATCACATTAATAAAGAAACAACTGCCATGGTAACATGCTCTCAACACCGCTGCTACCAAAGCCAATATCAAGAAAATCACTGACAGAGACAGATAAGAAACAAAGCACAAGATCTTGGAAATTGAGCAGAATACACAGGCTCTACATAATGATTGAATGACTACCTTGTTCTTACAAGAAAGTATGAATCAAGATATAAAATGACAGTAACCAGGGAATGGTAACCACATCCATGTGATCTAAAAAGAAAGATCAGAAAGATTGAAATCATTCTTCAAAACAAGGCAACGGTCCAAAAGTTTCTTTAACAACACATTTTTCTTTTAAAATACTGAGACCAAAACTAAACTAAATCCCATACTACCATTTATATGAAGATATTCCCATTAATACATAAGACCAATTTGTAACAGAAACTCTGACTTTTTCCAGTGCAATGACACCAGCATTTTAAAACACAACTTCTTTGAGAAATACGAAGATCATTGGGATAACATCACCCACTATAAAAAAAATTGAAAGCTCATACAATAACATGGTAAGATAGGAATGTAATATGAACTACATTTGTAAAGTGGTATCTCCATGTCAAAGAAAGTACAGCTCGCATTTCAAACTTGAGCATGGAATGCACGAATAGTAAGTACAAAACACTAAGTGAGGAGCTTAAATAATTGTCAAAACCGACAAAAGTGACTTTCAACTGAACAGATCCCACTGCTCAAAATAAATCATTGAACACAACATTAATACACATGTGAAGATAATATCAAGACAAAAACTGATCTAGTTGAAAAAAATCTCAAAACATGATATTTTTTTGAAAGACAATATAAAAAACTAATACTGACATTAAAATGACCATGTACCACACAAAATCCATAATTCAAAAAAAGGTTTAAAAACAGATAATTAATGGTCATAACAAGTTACCAACCAGCTAAAATACAAATTAAAATCAAAATGGTGCATTTTCTTTAGGAACTGTAAGTTGCTTAAACAATATCAGCTACAGTAAAAAACATGAAAATAGTCTTTAGAATGGCAACAAACAGATCACATTATTCTAATTCACATAATATATATGTGTTATAAATCTGGAGGTATCCAGGTCTTTAAGACATCCAGCTTGTGAGATACAATGATAAATGGTAACTGCTTAATAGGAAAACTTAGACAATTATTCTAGGAGATTGACCTGAATTGGTGGAGGAAGCAGCCCTTGGGGGTATTCTGCCGCAAGTAAAGCTGCCATCCACTTGTTTTGATCCTCCTTACAAGTGCCAGCCATGGTACAACCAAAGAAAGGACTTTCCTTGCTCCTTTTCACCTTATTGTTCTTACTTATGAAAGTAATAGCCCACCTGAGAAGAGGACAGATAAAATTTAACTTCAATCCATGTTTACATGTGCTCACCAGTAAAGCAGGGTTCAAAACTTAATTTTCAACAGACCTTGAAGTAGGGTTTCTTTTGGGCTCAAAACCTTCATACCACACAATTTCTTCAACAGGCCACTCAGAAAGTTTCACAGCACCCTGAAAATGACAATTAAACAGGATATGTTAACAGGCTAGTTCAGAATTGGAAATAAAATAAAAATATGGTCACTTACTCTTTTATCTTTGTAATAACAGAGCTTAGCTTGGCTGAACTCAAAAGGGTGAGTTTTAAAAGACTTGGTCTTTTGATCAGCAAAGCGAAGTTCCCCTGACATTGTAATAGGAGGAGTGACCTGAAAAATAAAGGGCGAGTTTTAGATGATAACTCTACCATATAAGCTAATCAGTCTGACAAATGAAAGAGAAAACTTAGACTCTCACCAAGGAGTTCAGCTCCTGAAGAACAGTGTTTGGAACTAACACTAAGAAATTCTGAGCCCTATCAGGCTCATCCCAATAGCCCCATCTCAAAACAGAATCAAGAACCTTTTCAGAGTGATGGAGGTACCGTTTTAAAGCACCAGCAAGGACAACCTCACACAAAGCAACTTGGTGAGCATGAAGAGACAAATGGGATGCTAACTCTGAACATACTTCTTGGCAAAGTTTTTGAGGTCCTACCTGAAACATTATAATAATAAAATTAGAGACTCATTTGTTTGTCTTTCTCCTACAGGCAATGTGCAAATACTACGTCACCAATTTAGGGGGGGGAGGGAGGATTCGGCAACTGATGACGGTCCTACCTTAGATACATGGGCAGGTTAGTTTATACCTATGGTGGGGAAATGGGGAGGGGTCGGGGGCTTGTTGAGGCCTAAAAGAGGTGACGTAATTTTTACATGCTACATTTTTAAGTGATGTTTTGAATGATTATACAGATAAAAATGTTACATACTGTTACATTAACACATTGACCGCTATCCTTGGAGCCAATGTGGATCCAAACTCGAAGGTCTCCGGTGGGTTTTGCTTGCTGAGGGTGTACTCCACCTTTCTGCAAACGCTGCAGAACCTCTCTGATTCTCTTATCTCTAGCCATTTCTTCAGCATTAACTTCATAAAGGCGAGGGAACATAGAGACCAAATCAACAATAACTTTAGATTCTTGTCGAGACCATGTTATTTCATCGCCATTCTAAAAATATAGATTAAAAAAATTAGGGGAATATAAAGACATTTTTTATAGTATGGTATCTAAGAAAGTGATAAACATTACAATGACACTGATGGAACAAATTCAAATTGTTATTAGGAAAAAATAGGTAAAAATACACCGAAACAAGAGTTCTAGTCTTACCATGACTTAGGCCTTAAGAAAGCACAGACACAAGAAATAAAAATAACAATCAGTTCTTCCATAAAGCTTCTGAGAGAAAGCACAATATTAATGATTAAACACTTACTTCAACATGCATGAGAGTTGGTCCCCATATGGCTGCTAAGTTCTCAACAGGCATGAGATTATGTTCACTTTCTTCATGAATGAAATGCAGATGGGACAGTAAGCGCCGCAAGGTAACAGCATTAACTGAAGGAAGTTCATTAAGTATTTCTAGGTACTTTTCCAACCTTTTGCTCTCATCTTGCTCACCTAAAATTAAAGGAAAAAATAAATGGTTTTTAATTGTTTTTAGATACAAAAAATTTGTTTTTTTTTACAACAGTCTGTGACATCCCAGGTCTTGCTAACATAAACATAACTTTGCAATACTCACATGATGTCTCACAGAGTCTTGGATGAAGTTTAGATGTTAACAGTGGCTCTGGCAAATCACGGAAAAACCTTTTAAGTACACTAGCAACATCATACTCGCTGAATTCTTGTCGGGATAACTGTACTGCCCAAGCATCTTGACGGAACAATGTCAGGAGTTTGGATACACTGGAATTCGCTCCACTCCGACGATAGATGCCTTCAGACAATGACCCTGTTCAAGGAAAAAAGTTGGCAAAAGTTAAATTTGTATATTACTTTTTTTTTTTTAACTTTTACGCAAAAATTGATTGAATTTACCATGAGCATAGACAAAGTTGATGCATTTGTCAACCAGCACAGGCACATTTTCTTGGGTGAGCTGTTGGCAATCAAGGTCTGGGCCATTGTCAGTTGCAGCAGATCTAATAACATTACGCCATGCAACCGTTTCACTTGTTCGTTCTGTGCGTAGATAAAGTGATAGTTTTGGAAAATCAATGAGAATTAATGGTGAAACAGAGTCTGGTTCTTGAATGACAATTGAGCGAGCACAACGAAGATCAGCTTCAATAGCTTTTCCTTTCGGGGCACAATACATCAAAGTTCGTTTATGTAGGAGAAGCCATGCTGGCATCCATGAGCCTCCAATACCCTCCTGTAAAGCAATTTTTATTATTAAGATAATATTGTGTCACCTAGATTGTTTAGACACTTCATACCGAGAGACGAAAGTTAAGATTCATACCTTGAAGTAGCACCATCCGAATTTGGAGTAGTCAGAAGAGATCCGCATTGGAAAAACAGTAGTAAAGTTTTCAAGAATTTTCTGCATCCATACTCTTCTTTCCATTGAAGAAGTGACTCCAAATAACTGATTACGGTTTTTCCCCAGTAAACTCAGTTCAAAACAATGTAGTTCTTCTCCCTCCGAGCTAAAAAAAGTAACAAATAAATAAGGAACAACAACAAAATTTTATTTTTAAGTTAAGAGGAATTTCTTTGCTTACCTGGATCGATGTTCTAACACATGTTGAAGGCTCAAAACAGCTTCAAGAGGAATTATATCTTTGCTGCCAGAACCACTCTTATCCGCAAAACAAGTTAGTTGACTTTCAGCCAAGTGACACCAACGCTGCGTCAAATCACGTGAGGCGCTAGTGCCTCTATAGACTTCTCCCCTATACTGGACTGCAAGTGTGGGCTCAAGAGCAGGTCTCTCCAATTGTTGAGTATGGGGAAGATTTGCATAAAATGCTGATGTTGGTGCCTTATCGGAAGATCCATCTACCTGAAATTTAACACTGACATGAAAAATACATACCAGTTCAGGTAACTTGACAGAATCATTGAGAAACATTACCTCTGACGGTAAAACCTTGCTGTCCCTATGAACAGCTGACTTTATAGCTCTCTTCATGCTTGGCCAGTGCTGTTTCAGACGAGAGAAGCGTTTTGAGTTCATTTCAGCATCAAATTGGGACAAGGATGACTTCCTGGATAATGATACAGATACTGCATCAGCATCAGGAGGGACGTCTATGGCTCTCTCTTGCACGCTTTCCCCCTCAGTGATTTCAGTAGAAACGACAGACATGGAGTCAGAGCGGGCTGGAGGGGTGGGTGGTCTGACAGAGGCTGCACCCTCCTCAACAATTGCTACTATCTTCTTCCCATCTTTGGCTTTTATATTAATTTTGCCATAGTGGGACACCTTTGTCTCTTTGGCAGGAGCAAGACCAGCAAGTATCATTAGATCACTTTCAGGGAGACCACTATTGGCTAAGTCTTCAGCTATTGGTATGTTTACATATAAAGGATCAAATTCATAAATAACAGACTTAGTAGGTAACTTAGGTCCATGGGTCAGCTTCTTCCTCATTTCCACACGATTTTCATGAGTCATATTTTCAGAAGTATTAAGATTGGCAGAATGATAGCTCCCACTTGAACCAGAAATACCAGTACTGTCAACAGTGGAACTGTGGCTGCAACTTCCATTTGAAGCTAGGTCATCAGAGTTGATAGCTAGGGCATCCATTTGGCTATTTATTGATGGTAAACTGGATGTAGTTTTTCTGGAAGCCGACACTAGAGCAACTGGGTCTTCATTGTAGATATTGCAGGCTGATTCGTCTAGACTGCTGCTGCTAGTTCCTCCTTGTGAGCAACTGACTGTGTCATAGAATGTCCATGAGTCCGACCGAAGAAACTTTTTGCTTTTCTTATTGAGGGGGGGAAGTGAACCCGTTTCTGAATCACTGCATTGGAATGTGTTGAAAACTGAGCCGTGCTGGTCTTGGCTCTCGCTGAATTTAGCAGCTTCACTGCGTGCATTTGACAACTCTTCATAAATGCCATCAATTTCTTGAAAGGAGTCTGCATCACTCGGATTATTATGGTCTTGTTGGCTTCCAGAATGGCTCGACTTCATAGACTGGCTTGATTTAATGGAAGATACCTCATCATATAGGGATTCATCAGGAAGAGGTGGAGGTGGATATAGTGGTGGAGGAAAATATTCAACAGGGCTGTCTGGAGATTCCACAGAACAACATTTTAGTTCACTTTCTTCCAAACTCATTTTTGCATCAGCAGCTGGAGTGAGAGGAGAATCAAAAGAAATTGATCGAAAAATATCATCAGGTGGCATTGATTGACAACGATCGGTTAAAGAACCTGCCATCAAAGGATTCTCTCTGCCATTATAATCTTGTTGAGTGAATCTTTTGGGCATCATGTTACGAGCTATACGGCGTGTGCTCTCCATAACAGACTTGCCCTTTTCCTGAACATTATCTGATGCTGATTTAAATTCTTCTTTGAGCATTTGAGTAACAGATTGTTTTTGAGCCCCATCTGGACTATCCGAATTAGAGTAGTCATTCTTTTCCAGACTCTCCCGTCGTTTTTTGAAGCGAGGCAATGGAATGGGTTTCTTTACGGGGGATGTTCGGTTTGGAATTGGTGGGCTTGGCCGAGATTTTGGAGAGCAAGAATTTTCATCCATCTGTAACAGAGATATTATGTGTTACCTGCTTTTCCGTTGAATCATGGATTTCAAACCATGGAACCAGCCAGAAGCTAACAGAAGCAGAATGTTGGGTGAGTAATGAGATTTATCAATGTAAACAAATAACAGATACCCGTGATTTGAAGAAATTGTCATGACAGACCAATAAATAAACATTAAGGGCACTATTCAGTGACATGCCAAGTCAGATTTCATTAAGTAAGTAAGAAACAGTATGCTACAGAAATAAGTTAATTGACACAAAGTAGGCCTAAAAAGACAACGAAAACGAGGGATTGGGATTACCTTCCGTCAGCCTATGTTCAACAGGTAGTCGGTTAAACCCACATAGGTGTAGTACGTCAACAAGTGTGATAAAACATCCTTCATCCGATTAAGTACGCGCACGTCAATCCTTTCCTCTATATCACAATAAAGGGACGGCCGCCAGTATTTTCAGGCTGGTTGGTTCCGTGTGGGCTGCTGCAGTTGGGTTGGAGTGAGTAACACAACATTCCAAGGCTACCTACGGCGCACACACACACACACACAGACGCACACAAAAAAAACACAATCACCAACAATGAAACCTCTCATACCAACATATAGAGCAGAATGGGCGTAGAAGTTGCTTCATTTTTTTGCGTAAAAACTTTAAATTTGTCATATAATTAATGTTTTTTCTCATGGTTGATAGCTAAAATACTCTTTCCTCTCTTGAAACTTATCAAACAATCAATCAACGAAACATTTATTTATGTCAGTGTTGTACATAGTGTGCATAAATCAAAGCGGGTTCTCATCGCAGACGGATTTCTGTTTGGCATTTAAATTGTATTTATTTACTTTCTTACATCGAATTGTGTCACTAAATTCAATCGACAATTTTCAAAGACTTCTTTTAGCATCAACGATGGCCGGTTCAGCCCTTCGTCGATTAATGGCAGAGTACAAACGTAATACTGACGTGGAAATGAAGGAAAGTGGTCAGGGCTATTTAGGTTAACACCTTGTCATTCTACCCCTCTTTCATGTTACAGAGTTGACATTGAATCCACCTGAAGGAATCATTGCTGGTCCCATCAACGAAGAAAATTTCTTCGAGTGGGAAGCCCTTATTACGTCAGTACAGATGATTCAAAGTTACGACTGGTGACCACTTATGCTCTTCAATTCAGTTGTATTTTTATATTTTACAGTGGGCCGGAAGGTACATGTTTCGAAGGTGGTGTTTTCCCAGCAAAATTGGTGTTTCCATCAGACTATCCTCTCAGTCCACCTAAGATGCAATTTACTTGTGAAATGTTTCATCCAAACAGTAAGTGATTCATTGAGTACCCCATTTGTTTGTTACTGCTAATGATATTGATGAGTTAACATTTTGCATTTCATGTTGTCCTCCCTCTTATTAGTTTATGCTGATGGGCGAGTATGTATATCAATTCTTCATGCTCCTGGAGATGACCCAATGGGATATGAATCGAGTGCGGAGCGATGGAGTCCTGTTCAGAGTGTTGAGAAGATACTGCTATCTGTTGTTAGCATGTTAGCGGGTAAGTTAATAGAATCAAACTGAACTTTCTTGGTCTTCTATGCTGTTTTATTATTAAAAGTACTGTTGATTTTCTGTCTAGAACCGAATGATGAAAGCGGAGCAAATGTAGATGCTGCGAAAATGTGGAGGGAAGATCGGAATGAGTTTAACAGAATAGCAGAAAAAATTGTTAGAAAAACGCTAGGCTTATCGTGATTAGAACTTTGTTGTGGCTTACAAAAAAAAATGCTGATAGTCGCTGCTGGAATGTCACTTTCAAAATTTACAGTATATGGATTGTTAGGAAATATGGCTGTGAGGTAAGGCGTGTGAGACATAAATCTAATTCAGCACTTTACATTTTAAAAAGGTAAGGTTTTATGAACTTCAACTCAGTAAGTAGTCTTCAAGAAAATAAAAGGTTTCAATGAGCCAATCAATCATCTTTTTACTGATCTTTTCATATTATTTTATTTCAATTACACTAATAATATGTGATGATTAGCTGCTTACTTTCCAAAATAATGCCTTTTTTCACACACAAAAGTTTTTCTTATTTTTGTTACAGTTCCTCAGTTACCCTATCTTGAACCCATTTTAACAGATTTAAACAAGCCTCACACCTTACATCATCAGTTTCTCGAGGTACAAGCAGAGCACAAGAAGTTGATCTGCATGTGTCTCTACAACCCTCTTCTACAAATGGGTACGAATCAATGCGTACTTCTGGGTGATTATCTCTGACCTTCTGGACATCTAGATAATTAAGACCGACACAATTTGTGTACTGAATAACAATCTCTACCAAAGCCAACACACTCTGACAAAATTCATCTAATGAATTTAAGGAAAAAACCTTGGGTGAATGCAATAAACTGAACACTTCATCAAAAAGGGGACAGGGGTAACATTGCACATGAACGGAAGCATTACCCAAAAATGAGACAAAGACCTGCCTTAAAATTACTTTTATACCACCAGAGCTTAGGAGCATAACATAAAAACCCTTTTTATCTGCTGTAGCTATCCAGTCTGATGGCAGCAGACTGGAAAGCTTGCGCAGTGCTGCAGACAATGATGCTGCACTGGGGCAAGGAACTTCAATGTAAGAAGGTGCAGGTCCTGAAGAGGCGTCAAGAGTGAAGACACTGGAAGACTCTTCCACAGGGTTGACGAGACCCGGAGATGGTTGTTCCGGTAGGGACTGCTGCAGTGGTTCATTGATGTCTTCATCCTGCAACATTTTATTTTTAAATTTAAAAACAAATTACAGGGGGGCTGCCTGTTCCATATTAGCAGGAGAACTATAAATGCCTTCGGCATATGCTCTTCAGCAGTATCCTGATGGGGAAAGAAACATTCACGATATGCCAAGTTATACAACGGGAAATAAGAGCACTTAATGGACACTTTTGCACAAAATTGAATTCGTATTCTTTACAACTGTGGATCTCTTTACCATGGTCAATGTCCATAGGACATGTTGAGACCATTGAAACTTACCGTTTCTGGCACCTCTTTTGGAGCATGCGTCATGCGTCTTTTGGGTCTATGAAACCTCTGACTCCGGGCTTTCCGTGGCATCGCAAGCCAACATTTAAAAATTCCTTAAAGTTTAAAGGTTCTTTTGTAATTATAATTGCTTTTAAAAATTCAATGCAGAGAGAGGGAAACCTAACCTTTCTGGACCAACCTTCAGATTAAACATTTGCGTACGAAAGAATTTAGTTTCAGCAACTGTGTTGAGAAAGCGCTCTCATCAAAGTTATAATCTAAATTTAAAAATGAACACGAAGCATATAGATTATCAGAAAGAAATGTCGAAACTGTAAAAGAAAGGGGGCAATGTCTCACAGTCGGTAGCTGTAGGGTTGGTACTAGTTGCATTTATTTTTCATCATTCGTTTGTTGACCGCTGTTGTCTTCTGGTTTGTATTGTGATTCTGTTTATTTTCAGAAGCTTATTAAGTTGATGATTGCAACAGTCAGCAGCAGTGACATTTACTTAATGTACGCATTTTTTTTTGTGTGAGTCATATGACAGCAATTATCTATTCATTTTGTTTCGTGTTCTGTTCTTTGACAGGTTAACCTCGCCAGACATCGTGTTCTTGCCGTTTTCGCCGAAAAATTTAAATTAAATCTTCCGACGATTATTGTCTATCCAGACTTCCCTATTAGCCCAAGAGGCTAATATTCAAGAGTTCTAGGTAAAGTATTCATTTGTTCTCCGTAATTCTGTGGATTTAATTTGCCGGATGGGGCTTTGACGGTAACAACTCAATGTTTTTTGCTTGTTTTTTTTTAGTTTTGTGTTTGGAATGACTGAACAAGGCCCTACCATTAAGGTCCACTGTGGGTCGAACCTCGTTTTCTCCTGCTCCAAACCAGCAAAAGATTCAGAGTCTGGGGGGAAGACTGCTGCACTTGTGTCATCTCTGAAGGAAGCACAAGTACGTGTTAACCAGTTTCTGACCGAACTTGTGGAGAAAAGTGGATCATCAAACTCAAATAAAGGTATTAATGTTGAATCATTTTAATATTTTTCAAAATCCTTTGTTTCTTACACAATGTGTTGATGAATCACCTGGTTTTTAGGAGGTGATGATGAAGCTAGTGATGAGGAAGACGAAGAGGCAGATGAGGATTCCTGTGGCAAGTTATCTGAAGCTATGAAACGAAAACTAGAAGGGAATGAGTTGAGTTCAAATACAAGTAAAACTGATAGGAAAAGAACAAAGACCCAAACTTAGCAGCCAATAAAAAACACTATCATAATAATTTTTTTTATTAATTTTAGCACAAAGATTTTCTTTACAACTTTACAGCAGTGGTCACACATTTATTTTTCCTTTGGGCCGTAGTCATCTTAGGTTCACACATTATGTAGTTTTACAATCCCATATGTGCCTCATACAGTTTTTAGAAAGCAAAGGAAAGTTTGGCCTGCCTCATAATCCTCGCATCTTGTTTGTTTTTCTTATTTTTTTGTGTTAAGTAGGGTTGCAGCATGAGATAATTATCTCATGGTTGCAGTAACCCCTTTAAAGCATGCTTGTATTTTTTTATAAATACATGTGTGTATCAGTAAAAAAGTGATTGGAAATACATTATACATCAATAACAATCCCTCACACCCATCATTTTATCATTTTTCCAGTTTGATTGCGGTTCCCCCTCTTATTCTCCTCCATGCTGAAATATAGAAAGTAGATAAGACAACAAATTTTCCTACTTATGTACATATTTTAATGAGGAAATTGGCATGTACACATAAATGAGCTGTACATTAGGTCAGCAGCAAATATTGGATTGATTTGAGGGGTTATTGTGTCTCTTTTTGAACCCTATTTACACATGTTGGAAGAAGTAGAAGTAATGTAAATTTTTAGGTGGACAATAGTCAAAAACTCTGTATATTTGTGGGAAAAACGCACATGACTTCATCTTCAACCTTTTCTTTTGCTACGGAGAATGAGGAAGAAATGAATTTGCTTCAGATGTCTTGCCCAAGTTGAGACAACCCTATTCCATTGCACCAGTCAGATTATTGTGTATGCTTGATAAGGATTCTGTTTCTAACATAGGTCAAGTTCTCTTTTTAAAAATTAGATCAAATTTTCTAGCTGGTTTCGTTTGTAATGAGATCAACTGGGTCACAATATCTTTCAAATTTTTCAATTTGTCTTGGAGAATTTAGTTTGAAACATGTCTGTCACGTTACTTGTGTGAACTTTTTTTTTGTTTAAACCTCTAGAGGTTTATTTTACCTTAATTCTGAATTACAAATATACATACTTAATGTAACATACTTGTAGAAAAATCACAAGAATAAAGTCTTCTTCGATTGCACGCTAAACAATACAGATTAAGATTAAATGTAATCTTGAAACTTTGGAAGGGGAAATTGAATATACAACTGAAATTACTGCAGTCTTGCATTATAATTGGCAGAGAGAATTTCATTTCAAGAGTTCCCTACATTGGCTGTGTAATATTGAGTGTACTGCTTTTAGAAACATTCTGAAGGCTCTGCCAATTATAAGTACAATTCAGAGTATTTTAATATGTCGCATGCTTGCATTAATAAGGTTTAAAATAGTATGGTAATAAGTTGCAGAACAATTTTGAGGTCTCTGTGATGTCCATTGCTTCTTAATTATCACTAGGTAAACACAGCATTTGTAAGGTTGCCCTACAAAATTTAAAGCTTCAAGATGCATCTCTCATTCCTTACCACAACTGATAGATAGTTGCAACTTTGTGTATCCCCTAGAAATATGATCTGGTAATGTCCTGTGTTCGAGAGCAATCCGCTCTCATCTTTTGGCTCGGTAATTTGTTGATTGATATGTCAAATGTTCTTTTTTTTAACCAATATTCAATAAAACATCAATACTGAATGATTAAGATTTATCATGCATTGTGTAATAGTATTTTCCTTGATACACATTCCTGGTCCAGATCTGACTTAAGCAGAATATAAATTCGATCAGTGAGTCTCCTCAGAGACAAACTTAATCATGAATCAGTCACATAATACTGCCAAATGTTAGTCATCTTGACTTCTCACTTATAATTTCATTATGACCTCAGGTTTCTTACAGAAATGAAATAAAATTTTCTTTATAAATGGTTTTGAACTATCATATTTTTAAATTAATCAAATAACTATGACTTGATACTTAGGCCCTGGTGAAAACCTGATTTTGTGGCATAGCTTCAACTGTTGTGCAAAGTCACAGTGGCACTCATACATTTTTTTGAATCTTACTGAGGCAACTAAGCTAACACTCATGCATGTACACACAGGAACACCATTGAATGAAAATAGAGTGAAAGAAAATACAAAAACTCTTAGACAATCTTACATCCATTTGATTAACAGACATTGATGCATGATGCACTAAGCCAAAACACCAGCATTCTTAAGAAGTGAAGGTGGTATCTACTTACTCCATAACACAAAATATAAAGTCCTGAAGACATACAGCTCATATTGGTCAACAGTGCTGCATTACTAATCACAAACAGTAGAGAACACATCTAGTTTTTAGAAAAAAGTTATTACTTATCCAGTAATTAATATGATGAAAGTAGCTAATACAAAATACAAATAGTATCACGCCCCTTAAAAAATACTCGGGGCAGAATTGAGATTAATAAGATGATAGACAACTTGTAATATCTCAGTGCCATCCGAAATTCATACATGCTTACATCGTATTCGAGCCTCATGCTGGATCGATTTGTGCACACCACCACAGCTTTACTTGAACACCATCAAATTTCCTTCTATTTCAACAAAACTGATAAAAGGAAACACCCTGAGGGCATAGCTATTTGGCCAATATTTACAAAATGTTCCATGATCACATTACAACTCAGCTCCGATGTAAAATATAATAATCAACACAAGTAATTCCAGTCAAGTCACGAACTGTGCGCTCTGATTCACCAAGGACCACTGCGGCGAGGGGCATCCGGACGAGGTCGATGAAAACCCCGAAAGGAGCCTCCCCGTCCCGACTCACTTACCTTGGCTTTTTCAAACAGAAATATCAGAAACAACAACAACTAAACAAAATTCCCTTTGTCGCCCTACGACGTGCGACTCGGGGCCGCGAGGGGCGGCGCGCGCTTCCCAGGCTGGACGGCTATTGGTCCGCGTCCGTCTCTCCGCTAGGCTCACGTGTCCAGCAGGACGTGCCAGCGCAGGATCTGCTCGCCGCGCACCTCGCACATGTCGTTCCAGTGCTTGGCCTCCTCCTCGCCCGACGACTTGGCGCCCAGCGCGAACCAGCCGATGGCCTCCTTCTTCTTCATGCTGCGCTTGTTGTACACCGACACGAGCAGCGTCACGTCGGGCAGCTGGAACAGCGGCACCTGCGGGAAGGCGAAGGGAAGGGCCGTGTCACTCCGTGGCCGCGGCACGAGCTACTCCGAATCCGAAACGATAGTCCGGCCGGGAGCGCCTGTCAAGTCGAGGGTAGGCAGTGCCGCCCAACCCGCGAGTGTGGCGGGCCGGCCGGCCGCCCGTTGGCAGGCGCTCGGACTAACGAAGGCGCAAGCAGGAGAACTAGAAATGCCTTCGGCTCGGGAACGGACGCTGGGTCTGGCGTTCTGACCATGGTCGGTAGTAGTTTGAAGAAACGAAAATACTCAGAATTAAATGATATGTAAGCAAAAATATATATTGAGGCGGACTCAGTAAGACATTTTTGAGTAAACCGAACACCTTTTATCCTGGATTAGACGGTTTTAAACGTGGAAATGACAAAAAAGGAAGCAGCGGCGGGGGTCGACGGCAGTGTCTGGCGAAGATCCGCGGCGGGCCCCAACTGCAGGGCCACATAGTATACCATTTTTTATCTTTGTTAAGCTCTAAAGGGTAAAAAATGGGGGCTTTTATTAAAGCTAGAGGCATATACTATCAAATGGAAAGGTTATTGGAAAACATCAGGGCAGGAAATATTTGCATTCTCCTTACAAAGTTGGACGTCCTCAGGCCGTTAGCAGGCGGTGACGTCGACTAACCGACCATGGTCAGAAAGGGTATCTGACGACTTTGCAAGGAGAATGCAAATATTTCCTGCCCTGATGTTTTCCGATAACCTATCCATTTGATAGTATATGCCTCTAGCTTTAATAAAAGCCCCCAGTTTTTACCCTTTAGGGCTGGACAAAGATTAAATTTGGTAAAGAGTTCGGCCCTGCAGATAGTGCCCGCCACGAGCCTCCACTCCCCACTCGCCTGGCGCAAGGCCGCAAGGCGGACTGGGGAACGTGCGACTTACCTGGAAGACATAGGTCTCCTTGAACAGTGGGTTGGGCTGGCCGCGGCGCACCGACGACCTGGCCTTGCCGATCTCCTGGCCGGAGCTGGAGGCCAGCCTGAGGGTGACGTAGGTGTCGGGGGCGATGGGGCGGCCCGACAGCCCCGGCAGGCCCGAGAGCGCCGCGGGCCTGGACAGCGACGCCGCCAGGGAGGCCGTCGTCATGTTGCGGAAGTGGCTGCCCTTGACCAGCTCCACGGACAGGCGGCCCGTCGTGCCGTTGTAGGACAGCCCCACCAGCAGCTCGGGCACGCCGCCGTGCTGCAGCTGCATCTGCATGGACTGGCTGGAGCCCGTCGAGTCGCTGCGCGCCAGCGACAGCAGGTCGGACGCCGACGTCTTGAGCTGCGGCCCGAGACCAGGTTAGAGACTCGCCCTCTCTCTCGCACTCGAGGGGCGTGACAGTGCACTCACCGCCATGTTGGCGCGCGGCTCCAGGTTGAGCCACACGTTGGTCTCGGACTCGAGGTTGATGGCCGAGAAGCTGACGATGCTCTCCCCGATGAAGCGCTCCCGGCGCATGCGGCCGCAACCGTACAGGCGGAAGCGCACGCCCATGCTGTTCACGTCCTCGGGGTTGATGCGGTTGAACAGGATGCTCTCCATGAACTGGGGATTCTCGCCGTGCCGCACCTTGCTCTTCAACCTCTGCTTCTTGGTCGGGAGCAGCACGATGCGTACCTGAGAGGAAAAACAGTTTGTTCATTTTATTGTTTTCGCGAGTTCAGGATGAACCCAAAAGGCGCGGCAGGCAGGCAGGCACCTGCGTGTGGGAGGCGCCGCCGCGGTCCCTGGCGGGGATGTCCCGCGCCTGCATCAGGTGGATGGTCATGTTGCGCATGGGCGCGTCGTAGGCGAAGGACACCTCCAGCTGGCCGCACGCGCAGAAGGGGGCCGCCGCGGCCGAGATGCCGCAGCGCCCCGACATCCTGCCGCCCATGACCACGGCGCCCGTCGTGCCCGTGCTCTCCACGCTCTGGATGTCCGAGACGCCGCCGTCGTCCTGGTGCATCATCACGATGCACTGCGGGAAACAAAGCATGGTTGTTAGCAGCTTCCACCTGCGGCTGCGCGGCACGGAGGAGGCGAGGACTCACGTCCTGGTTGTCGCACTGGTCCTTGAGGCACGGCGGACACCGCGGCTCCGGCACCTCCAGCGGCGGCTCCATGGTGCGGTGCGCGTACCTCGGCGGGTACCCGGGCCAGATGGCGCCGTTGCCGTTCGCCACGCCCGCGAAGTTGGCCACTGCGCACATCAAGGAGGGTGAGCAGGGGCACTCCACTGTACATTCAGACGGTGTGGCAGCACGCTGTGGCGGCACGCTGCACCTACCGGGTGACGGGTGGCTGCCGTCGGGCTGCTCGCGCTGCTGGCCGCCGGTCTTGTCGCCGCGGCCCTCGCGGTGCCGCAGCATCTTCTCCTCCTCGCTGCAGGTCGTGGACGCCGAGGTGGTGGACGCGTTGCAGGAGGGGTTGGGCCCGAGGCCCCTCTCCGCCATGGACATGGGGTCGCCGTGCACGGCGGGCGCGCTGTGCGCCGTGTGCGCGGTGTGCGCGGCTTGCGTGCCGAGCGGGTTGTGCCGAGACAGCGGGCCGACGGCCGCCACCACGGTCCCCGTGCTGCCCTGGCTGCCCTGGCTGCCGTGGCTACCATGGCTGCCGTGGCTACCATGGCTACCTGGCTGGCATGGCTGCCGTGGCTGCCGTGGCTGGCATGGCTGCCGTGGCTACCGTGGCTGCCCTGGCTGCCCTGGCCGACGGCCTGGTGGTGGAAACCGCCCATCCCCGGGGGGGCGCCCAGGCTGCCCGAACGGTACGGTATTTCTGCGTCAGACAAAACAAACAAAATGTAATCAAGCGGAGCCGAGCGGAGCGTTGCGGGTCCCATGTTGTCATTCCCCCTTTTTCAAGCGACGCCGGTGCGGCGGTGCCTCGCCCGGGGGCGGGAGAGGGTCTCTGCAGGATGTGCAGGAAACACTCACGTGCGTGCGTCTGGCCGTAGTGTGCCTGCAGCTGGCGATGGAAGGCGAACTCGCGGCCCACGGCCGACGTCTGGCCGTTGACGCTGATGACCGTGGCGGCGGTGTGCGTGGGGTGGGCGCCGTGCCCGTGGACGCCGTGGACGCCGTGGACGCCCTGGCCGGGCGGGTTGGACGCCATCTCGGCCTCCAGGCGACGCCGGCGGCCATCCTCCTCGCCCTCCGAGCTGCTGCCCGCCTCCTCGAAGGAGAAGCCACGGCCTGCGCAGCGCCCAAAGCGTCACGCACATTGCCAGACATTCAATTTCAAAAGCGATTTGTTCCATGCATGCCGATGCATGCGGTGGGGCGGGTTCTCTGTCCCTTTCTCCTCCCTCTACTGAGAGCGAGAGAGACGGAGGGTTTTGGCCGCCGTTAAGGCGTCCGGAAGTGACCGGAGTGACCTCTCTTCGGGGAACACGTGATGGAAATGCCCAACAGTAAAAACGCGCGAGAAACGCAAAAAAAGCGCGGGAAAAATAACGCGGGAAAAAAACGCGGGAAAAGCGCAGAGAAAGCGCGGGAGAACTAAAGTCCGCGTGCGTGCCGCGAGACCCGGACTGGACGTCTGGGGCGACCACGCCTCTTCCTATCGTGACACGCTGCGGCACGGCAGCACGCAGCACGGCACTTAGGACAATTGTTGGCGTGACCCAGTCATCATAACGGGCCCGTTTGGGGTCCGTTTGGGGTCCGTTTGGGGCCTTTTTATCCACTGTCTGTCTGTCTGTCCGTCTGTCTGTCCGTTTGCTCCGGTCCCACGGGACCACTCACAGTGTGTGCAAGGCCAGCATCAAACCGTCAACAACTCCGCACCAACAACACGGCCGACACGGCATTGGCTCACGCGCACTAGGCCGAGAGGTCACGCACGGCGCACGTGTCTGTCTCGCACCCCACGGCGCTCCCCGGGAGTGCGAGCGAGAGACAGCGACTCTATTCGGAATCAGGTTGCAGAGCGCCTCTGTGGTCTAGCCCGTAATGGTAATGGTAATCTGAGGTAGACCGCGCTCGGACGCGCGCGCGCCGCGGGTCTGCCTACCCGCCGCTACGCAGGCGCTCTCTCGGACGGCCCCAACTCCGACGAGGGTTTTCATTCCGTCGGAGGCAAAAATAAGAAAGCAAGCAAATGGCGGACGGGAGAGACTCACCAAGGTCGGTCTTCCTGGGCCGCGGCGCCAGGCGGATGCCCCAGGCGTCGTCGCAGCAGTTGAGGCTGTTGATGCCCGTCAGGCACCAGCGCTTGTTCAGGTACAGGATGACGGCCGCGATGACGGCCAGCACGCCGGCCACCCCCACGACGACCGGCACTGCGGCAGAGAGGCAGAGTTTCAGAAAACCTGTGACGTGAACCCGACCGGTACTCCCCGCGTTAATTGATGTACTTGGTCACGGTCTACATGGCCTGGGCGGGGCTGGGCGGGGCGCGGCGGACGGGGCCGACAGTGGGGCGGACGGTGGCAGCTCCCCTGACGTCACGAGCTCCTGGCAGAGATCGCGAGCTGGCGAGACGTGACAGAGCTCCGCTAGCGCTAGCGCAGCGGGACGTGGGCTGACAGTGTCTGACACCAACCCCCTCCCCGGCCCCCAATTCCAGTCTCGTCCATTTGTGACGAGTCCGTTCGATGAGCCGCCAGAGCCGCTCTGTCTCGCGGACTATTCTCGTCCGCCGCGACACCGCGCGTTTTGCAATGGAAATGCTCTGCGCACTGCACTGGCACACTGCAGCGTGACTGCAGCACTGCGGAAAGCGCAGCGGAGGGGGCGCCAAGACGGCAACGCATCGCGGCATCGCGGTGGCAGAAGGAGTGTGTGTGTGTGTGTGTGTGTGTGTAACCGGCCCGCCGACACACCACTCCCGCATGATGAATACATAAAATTCAAAATTATGACTGCAAGTGTTGGCGCGAGGACTCTCTCTCTCTCTCCCTCTCTCTCTCTCCGGAGGCGCCAGGTGCCACACGCGGCGCGTCGCATATCGACCTGCAGCAGACGACGCCAGCAGCCGAGACGACGGAGCTCGCCGACGGTGCAGACGACTCAGACATATGCAGCGGCCGCGGTCGCCGCCACGCCTCCACGCCGCGCGGCCTATGACCGCAACGTGACGCGTCGCGAAAAAGATAAACAAGAAACGGGGGAACTCACGGCTCATTTTGCTTGGAGCATTCATTGGCGTCTTCTCGCATGGCGCGGTGTTTCCAGTGAGGGTGCCGGGCCGACCGGCCAGCCGAACCAACCCCGATGCGGCGATGCGGCGACGCGGCGACGCATCCTGGCGTTTAATTAACTTCCCCTCCACCCCGGCGAGCCGAGCGGAGCCGAGCGGAGCCGAGCGGAGCGGAGCCGAGCCGAGCCGAGCCGAGCCGCCCCTCGGGACGCGCGATACGGCAGACCGCCCTACCTGCAGTGTGTCGCCGTCTCTCTCGCTCCCCCTGCCAGCCGGCCCAGCCACCGCACGAGGGCGAGAGAGACGGCGACACACTGTCCGGAGTCATCCTGCAGGCAGTGGGGCCCGCACTGCCCTCGCTTCATTTCGGCGGGTTGCGCAACCTTCTCCCCTCCCCCACCCCCTCCCCCAAGACGGAGCCGGTGAGTTAATTTGACGCGCTGCACAATAAGAGCATCACGGGGGGAGGGGGGGATACCGGAGGGAAGGACAGGGACGCGTCCCGAAAGACCTCAAGGTGTCCCTCATGAAGGTCTTGGCCCGCCCTGCCCGGGGAAATTGCAGCCACAACGATTTTGGCTTTGACCGCAACGATTTTCCGACCAAGTTGGTGAAAAAGTGGTCGAATCTCGTAAATTTGCTGATTTTGCTGACTTTGGGTGGCCACTGTGTCCAATCTAGTCGCCGTAAAAGGCCTCCCTCGACGTTCTAGTATTCTTAAGACCCTACTCTTTCATGCCCTGTATTGGGAAGACGTTGACCACAACGATTTTGGCTTTGACCGCAACGATTTTCCGACCAAATTGGTCAAAAAGTGGTCGAATCTCGTAAATTTGCTGATTTTGCTGACTTTGGGCGGCCACTGTGTCCAATCTAGTCACCGTAAAAGGCCTCCCTCGACGTTCTAGTATTCTTAAGACCCTACTCTTTCATGCCCTGTATTGGGAAGACGTTGACCACAACGATTTTGGCTTTGACCGCAACGATTTTCCGACCAAGTTGGTCGAAAAGTGGTCGAATCTCGTAAATTTGCTGATTTTGCTGACTTTGGGTGGCCACTGTGTCCAATCTAGTCGCCGTAAAAGGCCTCCCTCGACGTTCTAGTATTCTTAAGACCCTACTCTTTCATGCCCTGTATCGGGAAGACGTTGACCACAACAATTTTGGCTTTGACCGCAGCGATTTTCCGACCAAGTTGGTCAAAAAGTGGTCGAATCTCGTAAATTTGCTGACTTTGGGTGGCCACTGTGTCCAATGTAGTTGCCGTAAAAGGTCTCCCTCGACGCCCTAGTATTCTTAAGACCCTACTCTTTCATGCCCTGTATCGAAAAGGCCATTGACCGCAAATAGTTTGGGAGCGGTAGCCTCACAAAGTTGGTCATGAAGGGTAAAAACATAATGATGATCGGGGGCCTTTTGCGGTCTTATCCGCTGGGGCCTTTTGGGGGCCAGTCCGAGCCTGCGCCCAGGTCTGAAGTTGAACCCCACAGCCCACAGCACACAACTTTTTACGCCGCTTCCGATTCATGATTGCGTGGCGTGGCGGCGTACGGGCTTCGCCCTTGAGAGTGAGGGGCGGGGAGGGGCGGGGACTGCGCCATTGTCCAGGCGGTGTCATCGGTAAGGCCGCGGCCGCCGCCCCGCGCCCGGCTGGCTGGCTCTGGCACTCCGCGGCGGAAATCCCGAGTCTGGTCGATACAGTGAGGCCGCCGCGCCGCCAGGCTGGGGGACAGGACAGGTGGGTCTGGCGGGGACGCCGCGGCCGCGGGGTGAGCGGCCGCTGTCTTGCTTAGGTCTTGCCTAGGTATTGCCGCTGCTGGTAGCGGAGCGGTTTGTCGCTCTGTCTCTCTCGCACCGGTACGGAGATCCCCATGAGTGCGATAGAGACAGAGCGATCGGCTGACGCCGGGTGACAAAGCTCCTCAGCTGGAACGGGATGCTACCGGCCCGCTGTCCCCCAGCAGGGCGTTCCGAACGGACCTTTCGTGGCTCGCCGTCACCCCGGGGCGTTCTGTGGGGGCGCGAGAGAGACAAAGACAGCCGCGTGATCGACCGACCAGCCGGGCCACGGCCTCGGCCACGGCCGGCCGCCACTCGATACACATGGACGTGAAGCTAAAATGTCCGGCGAGTCGATGGGGCGCGCGGAGTCGCCCTGTCTTTGTCGCACTAGGGCGGGCCGTGGCGCCGCGGAGAGAGAGAGAGAGAGAGAGAGAGAGAGAGAGAGAGAGAGAGAGAGAGAGAGAGAGAGAGAGAGAGAGAGAGAGAGAGAGAGAGCGTGCCACGTGGCGCCCCTTTATTCCACGTGAAATGTAATTGAGGAAGTACACGTGCCGTTCAGACTATTCCGTGGGCTGCCGCGTCGCTGCCGCGTGTCTTATTACGAGGCAGGGCGAGGCAAGGTGAGGCGACGCGGAGCCACGCGGCCGAAGGGAGCCGTGAAATTGAGTTTGGCGCGAGCAGCGGTCCTGGAGGAAGGTCCTGGAAGTCCCAGGGCTGGCGACGCGGCGCAGTGGCGCGGCGCCGCGGAGAGCCCCACTCCACAGGGCTGCCGGGGAGCCTATTCGGAGCCCCCTCCAGGTCCTCATCCTCCTCCTCAAGGTCCTCCTCAACGCCATGAAGCCCCGTCCGTGCCATGCCCCGCCATGGCCACCGGAAAGTCCTAGGACTCGGGTTCGACTTGGAGGACGCGACGCAGCACGCCGAGCAGTAGTCCGAGCAGTACGCTGAGCAGTACGCCGAGCAGTGCGCCATGCAGTATGCAGTGCACCAGCACGCCTACGCCGCCAGACACCCCTGCAATCAATTGGACTCGAAGGTCGCGTGTGTGTCTGTGTGCGTGTTCGGGTTTGCAACGGCACACCGGACGAACAGACGGACGGGAGGGGAGGGACACACAGACCGATTGGCTGAGGCTAATGTCAGCAGGACCGGCCAGGCCACTCTATTGATTCTCCGCGCTGCTTTCGTGTGAACCGCACGTACTCTCGTGTCCGAAAGCCGCGCGCTGTCCGAGCTGTACGAAAGCTGTCCGAGCTGTCCAAGTTGCCCCGCCCCTACTCCCAACCAAGCGGCAAAGTCAATGAAACTTGTAGAATTTCTGACGGCGGACCTAAGTTCGGTTTTGGCGTCGCACAGCCGACGGCGTGGAAAATGTTTGACGAATGTCCTGAAAATAGCGCGAAGTGCTGCTGACTTTAGGGGATGGCCTAAAAGGGTATGAAGATTGGCTGAGGCCCACGTGGAAGGGACTGTCTATAACCGGGTTTCAGATTATCAAACCTCGAGACGCCTTTGGCGCCGACTAAGCCGGTAAACCCAGCAAAAAGGGCGGGGCAGATCACTAGGTTACCCCGCTGGACCCACCTCGAACACGAATAAAGCTGTTATAGTGCCCTCCGAGCGAACTCTGCTCGCTCCCCTCTGTGTCTCGGTGGGCCCGGGTGGGCCTTGGTGGGAGTGCGGTGCTGCGGTGCTCGGGGATGCATAACCCATGGGCCCATGGACCGTCCGGGCCCAACTTACCCCGCTCGGTACGCACACACACCACACACGCAAACAAACCTGAGCCCGGAACATTGTCTTGGGGGAGTACTGTAGAGTAGTGGGTCTGTTGCCCGACGCCCGACCCTCACACGGGTAACCCTCACATGCTGAGAGAATTTTTTCAAAACTCGAACGAAACCTCAGTCTTGATGCAGCATTGATGCTTCTTTCCCGACTCGACTGTACAGGTTTGATGGTTGAAATGATTGCCTTCCCCTTTCTAAACACAGCCAGGTGCTCTTGGTCGGCCCCGGGGGCTGCGGGCGAGGTAGGGGACGGACGGACGGTTTCGAACAGTCGTGTCGTCGATCTGTCTTTCTAAGCATCCTTACGGGACAGACAGAGACCGAGAAGGACTCTTCGGATTCAGTCTGCTGGGCGACCGAGTGGTTGGCCCGGGGCGGCGTCCTTCAGCGACCGGGGACTCGGTTATGAACGCTCCACGTACTTTCGTCATCTCCAGGAGCGGGCCCTGCCGGCCCTACCCTCAGATGAAATTCCATCCCGAAAAAAAAAAAACACGCACACACACATACGTTCCTTCCTTCTCTATCTCTCTCTCTCTCTCTCTCTCTCTCTCTCTCTCTCTCACAC